TCAATTAGTCTGCTTGTTCAATTACTTTTTGAAGCGATTGTAAACGTTTTATGAGCCCCATCAATTCTGTATAACAATGGGAGATTACAAGCACATTAATTGCGTAACAGGATTTATCAGCTATAATGCAAATAACTTGATAACAAGCGTATAGAATAACAAGACAAGAACAATTAAATTTTACAACCAACTATACTAAATATTCAAGGAAGGAAGATTTGCTGAACATTAGCACAGTCGTTCTTGGGCTACCATCTTGAAAAGCGTATTTTAAAGCATTCCAATGGGCCCACAAATTTGTACTTAACTCATCTGTGCTTACACTCTAAACTTTACATTTTTACCACGAAATCAAATTTGGGTTGCACATTACACATACAAAAGCCTAACAGGATAGGACGACGTAGCTAAAAATTGACGATGTTTCATTATGATATAGATACTGAACGATTTGCTTTTTGTCCAATTACATTCCACAATATGAGCATATAGCACATTTTGAGAACTAGATTCATTCAGTTTTATTTTTCATATATAAAAAGATGATGATAATTGAAAACATTCCTAGTTGAGATAGGGTAATACCAAAGAATGCATATTATATATAGATAAATTCGTTAAATTATACAAGGTTGTCATAACGTCCTGTATTCAATTAAGTGAAATAACTTTGATGTGCTTCAACGCGCAATTTGTTGCGGACATATAAAGTTGTATTAAATGAACTTTTTTTTAAATATGAGCAAATCTTAAAAGGATATTATAAACAGTAAATGGGTATTTATTGATAATGGAACGACGATCTTGCGACTAACGTAATATGCCTATGAAGTGTAGTCGGCAATACTAAGCATACTTGTTCAAACAACATGGGGCGTGGGCAATGTACATTTGGTTGTTAAGCCATGTTTAATCCACGTGAATTGTGTTTGATCACAGAGGGCAGTTGTTTGGCACATTTTGAGACTGTTTTACAAAAGAATATAGGGTTCATAGTTTCTTGTTTTGAAAAACATTACATAAAGTGTGCTTTGTGGCAACTTTTCTTCATGGAATGACCCCTTTAAAGTTTTCACAATACAGTCGCCTTAACTCGGCCTAAGGGGTCGTACCGTCTTTTTGTTGCCTTTGTTGTACCGAAAAACAAAAAACGCCCTACGACAACCGACCTATTCAACGAGTATGGTTCACACCAAATAACAAACGTAATTCGAAACCGGTTCCAAAATAATTGACTCCGTTCAAATATGGATAATTATAGAATTTTGTCAAACTAGCTCGATTTTATTATACGCCATGTTTGGTCAATTGTTTTGTAACAATGAGGACACACTACACCCCACCTGTCCTGGACGTGCTTTAGGAAGTGACAGAGACAATGAAAACCGGAGATACCTTACCGGAAATTCAACTCCCACAAAAAACGGTAAGGAATTTTTAAAAACATTGCCAGATGCTGTAATGCTGGTATTCAGGGGAGTCTAGTATCGAGGGAACTAATTGAATGGCGATCCTATACTTGAACCTATTCAGTAACAAATTTTTGAAACATATTGGGTGACAGGTAGTATTAAATGATAACAATACATAAATATAGAATTTATAATGATATATAATGTCTAGACTTCCCCAATAATGAGCAAATGCTAGTTTGTATAATGAATGGTATCTTTCCTGACGCTAAATCGATTCAATTCCAAAATGTTATAAATTTTAATTTATAATGAAAACACTCTTTTCGTTTCGGTATAACATTTTTTTCAACAAAAATGAATCACGTTTTCACATTTCCAATATCAATTTAGGCTGACATTTGCTTAAATTAGCAACCGAAATTGGTTTAGTCTTTGAAAAGAACACTTTCAAAGTTTCGTGGTCAGCTAACCGCGGCACCTGTAAGGTAAAACACAGGCCTGGACGACGCCACAAAATACGCCAAGGTATGCAAACAGCGCCAATTCAATTTGCGGGTTTTGATAGTAGAGTCACGCCAGCATTTGTTCGCCAAGCTTGTTGGATAGAAAAGTCAGAATTTATACGCAAAATAACGACGACAGCTTATTATTATTTGGTATAGATTACCATCAGTAAGGTCGTAGGTCAAAGATCGGGGGGTCAGTAATATATACAAATTAGAGATCCATAGGTTGACTATTATTCTATTTTATTGCCCAAACAAATGATAAAAGTCAAGTGTGCTACACATACCACGGAGGCCAATAGTACCTAGAGCCAGTATAGGCCAATCATGTCAGCTAAATCGCAGCTGTTAAATATTGTGAAATACGACTGATTATATTTCAAGTCACATAGTCGATAACACCTGACGGATCGATTATTATTCAGCTTAATTGTTTAACCCCAAAATACCCATATTGGGGTATTTTTCAAACAAAATAGAAACCGATACATTCCTAACCGATACCGAAACAATCGTAAAGATAAATTTTAATTCCCGAAAAATAACCTAAACGAATTTGCGTTTGTTTTCAGTTTGTGCCCTATAAAATACCCGTAAAGGGGAACATATTATAACGATCGTCTTCGAGCTGTATTACATCACTTGTAGGCGATCCTCTGTTATTTTTGCGCGCACTTGTATAACAATGGAAAAGATCACGCGTATGGAATCGTGCTTTGATATCTCGCCCTTTTATAACTTCTTAGTTTATACAAGCGGGTCTACTTACCGCCCTAGTATATCTGTATCTCAAAGAATTCCGTTGACCACCAGATCCGTATTCATTGAATGTACATTCATACGAAATACGTAAATACTTGGTTATATAGGGCTGAGTATGGTGTATAACTAAATCTCGATGCCGTGGAGAGTTTAATCATGCACCGTACATTATCAATCAGAATTCTGTCAAGAATTCAGACGATAAATACACCAGACTGGAAGAAGACAGGAAAACATAATTGGGATTAATGGGGGCAGTCATCTAAGCACCGATACTGGAATACATGAGTGAATGAGTCATCGAAACTAACCAAGAATTTTATGTTTGGGAATTTTCTAAGTCAACATCGAAAAAGAACTTCTTTACCACCTGATGCTCAGTAATAATAATCGGCAAGGGATGTTAAATCATATAGAGATGGGAGAAAATGAGTAAAAACGAAAAACATAGCTTAGGTGCAACTGAAATTTGAATTAGAACACACAATAAAACAGAGGGTAAAATTAGTAATGCATCTCTTGATAATAAATGTAAACGATTTCAACTCCAGACAGTAATAAACGTGACGTTCCCGAAAAATTTCAATGCCTTATCATTGTACTTGAGACTATCTGGTAAACGTTAAACCGGGTCTTTAAATAATATCATGATAATCCGATGACGTCATAAGGCCACATCCGAATTAGAAGAGGGCCACATTTTACGTTTAGTGACGTTATATAGGCTTACCGAGCCACTTACATTTTCACGTTATTTCTATTATATTTATCTGAGTGATGACCTGGATCCAAATTTCACACCATATAGTGCGTCAAAACGTTCGAGAATCGTCCCACTTTAACACTGTTTTGTGATGTTTGCTTTCCTACAATTCTCGCGCGAAGAGAGACCCGAATTCATTCGCGAACAATGCGCGGCTAATGTGTGCTTACAACTAACAAAAAGATTCTGATCACAAAGCGAAGGTGTCTTTCATTCACTATCACAATTTCTGTCAGCTTACTGAGTAAGTGGATTGTGAGAAACAAAAATTTATCTTCGTTTTAAAGCGAATAATGTGCAAGAAGCACGTAATATTTGTCACATGATGTATATATATATATATATATATATGTAAGACTGGGAAGTATTGATAATGCATAATTTTATTTGCTAATTCATGATTTTAAATTCGTAAAATCAATGATGATAGTGTTATGTATCACGGATTAAGCATTTACAAAATGCTTGGTGTTAACCAAATTTAATTTTTTGATTATGCGCCATCATTTAGTCTCCAAACTAGTCTGACAAGGTATTTGTCATAAGTTTAAACACAATTTTGGTGCAATGCTCCAAACTGTCATCCAAATAACGTTACGCTACAGACTGATATAACCCGTTAGACCGTAAGTAAATAAAAAACAGATTGAGTCAACATTAATACATTGCCGAATGTGAGTGACTCTCACTTATAACAAGGGTTCAACGAACGTTGTAAGTTACGGCGATGAGTCCGCTTTGTCTCGCCCTAGATTTCGTGCCAGGAAATTACTACTTTGAGGAATACGACGCCGTTATGGCAATGATTTGTACGTGTAATATGTCTGTCCGGTTTTTAAGACTATATTTGATGTGTTAGAGGCTGTACTTAGCTAAATACCAGTACTATTGTTAAAAATTCTCGCAGAATTTCTGGGCAAACTTGGTGGACTACCGGCACTTTACTTTGTAAGACTAAATTTGTGAAATTCAATACCATATACAATGTGATAGCATTCTACACTATTTTCAGGAATGCCCGACGAGAGTCTGAACAACGTTAAGATACCAACTTGTATGCTGAACTAAAATTGAACTCATAAGTTGCACTTAATCCAGTCAAACGGGCTTTAGCCTCTGATTCTATTATTGCAACGCTAAATTTTGTTAACATTACAATAATAAAGTCATTTGACGACGCCTCGAGGGTTGGCGTAGGCGTGACACCCAAATACGACCATACAACATCATTATTTTGATTTCAATCTTTTCCAAGGAGAATTGAAAACTGATTTAGAGCGATCAAGGCACAAGTTGAGCATTTATGACACTTGAATATTATTTTTAACAGCAAAGTCTATATTGTGACTGCTAAATCTAAAAATATCACCACAACATATAAAAACCTACATTACTGCCTACAGGAATTTCATTCATTTTATTTTGCCTCAAAATAATCGAGGTCTACTTTTTTAACGCGATAGTCTGCGCACGTACGTCCATAGGCTACAAGGTTTACAATCTTTGTTCTGAAGAGACCATTACATTTGTTGCAACGTGCATTTGCTTGCTTACCTTCCACTCCCGCCATTTCCTCGATTGATGCCTCTTCATCTTGGGCCTTTGTGACGTACCCAAACAGGGTTATTGCCACGAGGGCCAGCCTGAACCAAGATGTCTTCATCGCCTTTTCTATCTGGAAATTCAGTAAAGTTACTGATTTTGAAATACAAATTAACGATTTTGAGATTTGCTTCGTAGTAGTATTTGATTGTGTAAAATGGTTTAGTAATCAGAGTGTGCGAAATGGAATTCACTGTGTGTCATAAAATAACATTCTTACGAGAAAGTACCAAAAGGGGTTTGTATGTACATATGTATTTATTTGCCAAATATGATCGCCGTTGTTATATTTTTTTGCCGTCGTTCTTACAAAATGTAATGAAAATTCCAAATACGAATTTCCAAGTTTAGGCTCAGAAACCATTTTATTACATTAAATCACGTTGCGCTTTCTAATGTCAATTATGCCCAAATTTAGGTGGTCGTAACTTTAAAAATTATTTTGCCAATGTTACAAGTTGGCTGGACGGGTAAATTTTAATTTCTGAGATTTTATGATATTTTTTATCAGTCGAGAAGTAGATTTTAATAAAAACCACCGACAAAAGTATACAAAGCGATATTGAAATATCTAGACAAACAAATTTCCAATGATCTTGATCTCTTGGTACTCAGTGGATCCATTGTTTCCGTAGCTTATCTTTCAAATTATTAGCGGTTTCGCCGCAAGCGCACCAGCCGGCCTTCGAGGAATAAACTTAACTGCTTTTGGCAATTGTCTGATTGTGGAAATGCATAAATAATAAATTTGATTGTTGTTTTTTACCTGTCAAGGCGCCGTTTACCGCCACACGGCGTCCTGTTCTTTCAAATCAATTGAAAAGTTGGTCAACCACTTTCGAATTCCAGAATATAGTCCAATATTTTAATTATGGCTACTTACGGCGACGTCAGCTAATTCAAAAATAAAAAAGAAATTTCAAGTTCTATGTTTCTTAAATTACTGAAGATCTCACCCTGGTTGATTTCCTATATATATATTGTGAAGCTAACGTTATAACTTTTACGAGCTCATTTCCGTGGGTAAACTACAGTTGAAGAATATATCTCACCGAAACTGCGTGGTTTTAGGTATTACTTTATACATAATTATTATTTATAATATTAACACGTATTCAAGGTTGAACCGCCGACCGACCTCCCCTCACTGGTAGCGTAAAATTGATGGTGATAAAAGATTTTATTCGGCGATTGACCCCTGAACCTGAAATCTAATCTGTCTACAAAATAACGCATAAAGACTAATAAAGTTTAGCAGTGTCAAGCAATAGTTTCTGAAATCTCTTCACAAATTACGTTAAACTAAAGCCTATCATATTTTGCACTACGCAAACGAAGCCCGAAACAGAGCCAACCGCTCACCAGTACGCTCGGGGGCACCGGCATTCTCGTCTGAACATCGTTGAACGGCGACGCCGCTCTTCTCAGCTGAGCGTCGTTTCTCTCGCGCGACGGGAAAATTTACTTTTCTTTATTGCGAGACCCTTTTTCTACCACTCGGTCGCTGTTTCCTTTGTCGTCTGCTGATCTAAAAAGGTGGGTATCAAAGTTATGACACCTCTAACTAAATGTTTTGCTTGTATATAAAACGTTATTAAAAGGTGATTTAGGAAATTGAGCTCATGCAGAAAATTTAAAATCAAACTAGCTGGTGAATTCAGGGCAAACGTACCGGGGAAAATCAGCTACACTAAAATGTCTCTAATTTTACTCGATGTGTTGAAATATACCGATGCGGTTAGAGGTATGACGTCATCGTTTTTCTTCCTCTTATAACCTAATATTGGTTCAAATCAAGCATACATAGCTCTTCACTTTCTCTCTAATAAAGATATGGCTACTTTACATTTTGCATGAGTAAATATTATTGGTATTAACCTTCACTGTATTATGCAAGTCAATATTTCAGAAGTAAATTCTGTCAGCATTAAAGTAGATTGATAGGCAAGTAATTACCCTACATGCCAGAATCGTTACGTCACTGTACCCACAAATCTACCACACATGTCATTCCCCGCTTCACATATGTTATAGTTATGTACTTTCGTCTTGTTTTTAAAAAATTTCAGCAAAAATTAAGTATATCTCGTAGATAACTTTAGCCCACGCACTCTGAAGTGAAGCATGTTTGCCCAGGCTAACAGAGCAAAAGTTTCAAGTGATAATACGGTTTTATAGTATTTTTAAAAGTTTTAAATCAATGTGGTCTTCGGAAATTAATTCATTCCATTAGAAAGGCGAAGCAATTAATAATGATAATATTCATTTATTTTAAATTGAATGAAAACAGCAGATCAAAGAATGAATACAAAGTTAAATTGTTTATACTTGCTAGTGCAAATTGCTGCCTGTTGTATGTGGCCAAATATTTATTTCCTGGGACACACTTGTTAGATAACACCATTCACTTCGGAATTCAGAAGTGTTTCTTTCCGGTACTTCAAAGGTAATGCAAGGTAACACAATTCAATGAATTACCGTTATATTCATTGTACCAAACACAAACTAGTATAAGCACATAGACGCATGATTAGCTAAATACCAATACCACTTCTACGCGGTAACTGTCAAGTACAATTTTGATTATTTGTCAGCTTACACACGGATGCGAACTAGTGTGACCCGATTCCCATGGGCGATCCCCTCCTGTTCAATCGACGTTATGTTGCAGGCACCAAACTGAGATATTGTTCGGAATCGCTTAAGCGGATCTGTGCAAATAAGACACAGACTGTCAAAACGTGTCGCAATCACTAATCGCAAAAGACGGGCGATTGGCCTGGAACACAAGCTTTTAATCTGTCACTGCAAGTGTTATCATCATTCTCATCGGAAGAACTTGAAATCTCGATAAAGCCGATAAGACGATAATTAAGTGAAAATGAAGCGATTGTATCATGTGGGCCTTGTAGGGTTTCTACAAATGGCGAAGTTTTTAGAACTGGTTCGATGAAATTTGCTGATATATAGTTTAAAGTTTTTATTTATTTGGGAGCAATAAACATATTCAGATAAGATTGAATTATATATATGGGGTATTTAAGATGTGTTAATATTAAAACATAATTTTCACTTCACATAAGCGCCAATTTATGCTATGTATCGTAACGTGTGTACTATATATAGGGTTTCGTAAATGGACATCCTTTTTTTACTTTATATAAAATATTGACCTAATTGGGTAAATTACAAAAAATCCTAATATTCACGTAACATAAACATAGATTTATCTGACAAAATACAAGTTCAAGAAAAAGTCAGACACATCTTATCCTGACTCATTCGGAAATCTTTCGAGTCACACGAATGCTGGAATTATTTATGTACTTTAATATCAAGATTATAATCTACAACAACAATAATGAAAATGTTTCATATTTGTTTTCTAGATTTTGTTTCGCTGGTTTTTGTTTTGTAATTTTGTGGTCTGAGAAAATGTAAATGACACATTTTTTAAATGCCATACATACTTTGTAAAAATGGAATGATTTCTTTTGTGAGTGCGTTATTCTATTATCAGCACATACAACTAAGCACACGTTTGCTTCACGACCCATCGTGGAACATTTTAATCCACGCAACTGAGTTTTTTTTTAATTGGTATATTTGGATACAATTTTTTTATTCACCATTCAGGTTAATCCAAAATCTTCTACCTCCTTTCCTAATGCAGGGAAGAAGTCAGGCTGACAACTTGATGAGATTTGACCACCCGTACTTAACATTTCTTACATAATATTTAACAGCATAAGTTGACAGTAGTTCATGGCCTTTAAATACCCGAGGATGAAGGGAAAATATATTCAGTATACTGAAATAAGTAACAAGAGCTAGGGCGAATTTCGGCATGAAACTGATTCAATGTTGGCAATCAGGTGAATTTTTGTCAAGTATTCTCATTATAATGAACTATAGAATATTAGTCAGAAAGACAATTTTATAAACAAAATAAAGGCATTCATGCAGTGAAATGTAGTGTGTCAATCCTATGCTTGCTGCTCAGGGGGTAAAGTAATATCCAATCCCTCATCTTGAAATGAAAAATACCAATGTAAGCATTGAAATATTACGGTCGATTTTGTGGTGGTGTCCATTTTTGCACCTTTTTAAATTTGTACTATAAGGACATAGCAAATTGGGACAGGAAGTATGGTCCACAGGTGCATGAAGTGGATACAAACTCAGTGATGTATATAGTTTTGCAGCAAAGTAGTCAAGTATTTACAAGTAACGTTCAATACCGTTTATTGTTTATAATATTTATCGCCTCTTTTCGTACGCGATTCATCCCTACTAATTATTTTGGATGGTAATCTCGTTAAAGATTTAGTACAGATTAGTATTCATGCCTTGTTTGAAGTGGGGTTCTCTGCATAACGTTTTCATCTTATCTCATGTCGAAAGGTCGGATCAAGAGAAGAGCAGGAATGTTACAAATTATCAAAATTCGGCAAGCTAAGATCGATGTGAATCCTATCCTATCCTACCACCTAGTGGTATTGAGAACTGGTAGTGCTTTGGAATCGAAAAAATTTACTATCGATGGACGCATGGAATTTAATGCCTTTTAAGTTTTAGTAGGAAGTTTGACTCTTTGTCATCATCAGAACTTTTCAATCCCGATTTCGACTCCGGGGAATTCATAATTACGACTCCGGATCCCGGGAGTTAGAAAATACGACTCCGACTCAGTGAAAATATACTGAACTCATACTCCTCGGGCCTGGTTCTGCTTACATATGTTCACACAATAAGTAAAACTGCCATTGCGACAAATAAATTACGGAAGTTACACGGAGAGAAACGGAAGTGCCCGAAAAATTAGCGCACTCCAATTTCTACTAATTATATGTATATATCACGTATGTCGTTCAACATATATATATATATATATAATAAATAAATCCTGTTTTTGTTGCTAATTAATGATTTGGAAAAAGAAAATTTTTTTAATATGCCATTTGGTTTAGTTTCTGTACATGTTGACAAGGTAACTATTGGATAACTGGGGGCGTATTGCATTTTATCTAGCTCTTTTCAATTTGTGTTTTTCTGTCTCATATATATATATATATATAAGCATTATTCGATCAACCACAAAAGTGAGAATATTTCATTAAAGAGGCTAATGACGAATGCAAATAATAAGATTAAATTATCATTTACTGCAGAATTCGCTTTTGAACCCATGCTCGCATGGTTCGGATTCAAAATTAAGCTTCGGATTGAAAATTTCACAGGATTTAAATGTCTGAACTCCGAGGTCTAGGACGATTGACTAGCAAAGCCACTCATAAACCGTTCAACGGCCTCGATCGAAAAATCGTAGCTCTCCGTTGTTTTCCTCTGTTGCGTGATATATATAAAAAAAATCCAACAAGAGCAGATAAACTACTATTCGCATGTACACAACACTGTTGAAAAAGCTTAAACCCTGTGAATTCAGTTAGATTTCAGTCTTATTTACAAAATTTTACCCATGAGTATTGACAATGGAATTAAAATAAGAGCCTCCATCAATTTTCCATAAATTTCTCCGCTCGCTTATTTTGAATATCTATTGCGCATAATTTTTCGAACCTTTGCTTAACACATACTTTTATACTAGAATAGGATTTACATATTTATCCCGAGAGAGAGAGAGAGGAGAAAGCCGTTAGGACGGCTTAATCATATGGCGAACCACGGCCTCTCGTCCGGTCCATGTCGGGTATAGAATTAGTTAAGCCAGTTATTTTGTTTTCAGATGCATGGACTTGATGGTGGAGATAGCCTCTCGCATCTAAATATACTCCACGGGATTCGAACCCACGCAGGGTAACTAGAAGTGCTGTGGCAAGTGTATTTCTAACGCTTGGCACGATGCGCCGCCGAGTCCTAGTTTTGATATCATCGTTATATTTTGACTTCCAAGAATATAAATGTGAAATACTCATATTCGTATTTTCGTGTAGAACTTTCTTACCGGAACTTGACAAGGAAAACCCTGAACTGATCTGTACGGCCAGCCCACATGCAACATGAGATGCTAATAAAAAACTGAAAATTTAAATGAACGAATAATATTATTCACCAGTGTCTAACAAATATATTTATTTATTTTGTACAAAAATATACAATTGAAAATATATAAACTTGAAAATATATAAACAAGTAAATATATACCAAGACGTACATAATATCGGTCACAGTTAATCAGATATTACTTGAATGAATTCGGAGATTTTTTGCAAGAATAAGTATGTATTCTTCTTCTATGCTTTCGCGCTGGTGAAGATTTATGCGGATAATGATTCTGTAGCAATAATGAAGACAATTATTCTATTTTTTGAAAGACATGGACTAAGCAAATTTATCAGCATTTCCCGAGGTGAAAAATTCTATCCAATATAAATCAAATTTTTTCTGAACTTTGAAGAACAAATTTAAAGAGCACTTTATGAAAAACCAGACTATAATAAATATCTTCACACATAGAATTTTGAAATACAGTATTGGATATTTACTGTAAGCGCCTATAATTGAAATATTGTCTATTACTGTTTGAGCACAATATAAATGATAAATAAAATTTCGTCAGAGTAAAATCGAGTAACAGCTTTTTAGGATTTGAATATGTTAGTGAGATGGTGCTTCAAAAATGATCATTCATAGACTAAATACATTAACTGATTTTCATGCACAATGAATACTACTTTATATGCAGGCTCGTATGCGCCATGCTTAAAAAACGTTTGTCACAGTTATAAAAGGGCGAACAGCTCAAAAAATTACTCAATTCCAAAGTATTACCTATACATAATGTAAAATTAGTATGAACAAAGGGTTAAATTTTGTGAAATCCAAATCGGAAGTTGCAGTCAGAGTTGAAATTTCGAGTTCGCTGGAGTCGAAATTTCATACTTTTAATGACGATAGTATAAGTCGAATTTTTTTTTCAGAAACTCGAAAGTCATCAAGTTTGATGAGTTTTTCGGTCTCTTGTGAACACTATAGAAACACAATATGATCAGAAAAGCAGAACTTTGACCGCAATTTTTGCATATTCTCTTTGTCACAAATAAATTTCATGTCCAAGAAAACAATTTTTCAGTGAAAGTGGACAAATTTGATGTATTTAGTTTAGAATGGTAAATTTACACTTTAGAGAAAACGAAAATCATTTTCAGTATTACAAAAGAGTGAATAAATTATCAAGTTTTTTGTGACGCTGATTCGAGGGGATGGTATTGAACTAGTAAATTTGGTTATTTATGTAAAAGTTACCATGAAATGTGTTGAATATCATGAGTATAAATATTAAAATATTCATCCCTCCCAACCTTTCTTTATTTAGCAAGACCTTAACTTGGCGATTACAAAGATTGATATCTAACTATCAGGAGGCATCGAGTCTGGTCCGAAAATTCTGCATACACTTTTAACACTTATCGTATCATATTGAACTAGTGATATTGTTCAAGGTTGCTATGAAGTGTGCTGCATATTATAAGTAGAATTATTATAATTATAATCCCTTCACAATCTTAAAACGGTGACTTTTTATTTGGTCATTACAAAGATTGATATCTAACTGCCGCTGGTGAGTCTGCACGAATCAGCCTGCCTGCCTCGTGCATTAAATCAACTATATATTTAAAAGGTGGAAAATTGGTTCCAACTTCTTCAGAAGAAACCATAACTTCATTCCATGCTCTGTTATATTCTCCCTGTACAAGAGAACATGGTACTGCTATTCTGTCCGCAAGAACCTAAAAATTGAAGTAGGTTTTACTAGATTTTCGTAGAATAAAAAAATTAAAACATCACAAACCAAAAGATAGTTGGATCAAACTAGCTTTCGACTTTCATAAATAAACTACACAATGCTGCTTTTTCACTGGCATTGAATTTACAATACTCCAAAATTCATGGAACGATTAACAGTCAAGATTTCTCAAACTGGGCACTCAGCCCCATAGCAGGCCACGAGCAAAGGGTTCACTAGGTACAATTTGCAATGACTACATTATTTGATATAGAATGTAGATCTACTGTGATGGCTCAATTATCCGAACATAATGCAAATATTCCTTCACTTTTGTTTGCTGGTTTTTTATTATTAAACATGCTTGAAAAAACAACAGATCGCAACCTTTCACAAAAAAACTAGGTATTTTCATAAAAGAGCAGGGGCACGAAGTATTGAAAGTCTTTCTTGACCTTCCTGGCTTCTGGAAAAAATAGGTACCGGTAAATTCATTTCTATTTTAACCATTTTGTGTTCTAAAAACTTTTGAAAAAAAATAGCACTTACTTTGAATAAAAGAGCTCTGTGATAAAAAATGCCTTTATTGATTTTTCCTATCGAAATAATATTTGATTTTGAATCGAACTTTAATTCTGAAATGTGAAGTTCCCAACTAAAATCCATCATCTTTCCTTTTTCCACTTCGCCTCCCATTTTTTCGACTACATACCTGGAAGGAAAGAATTGTTCAATGATTTTTTTATACAACTTATTTACCTTCAGTTCTGAGCAAGGTGTCACACAAGCAGCCCCTTAATATGTAAGGATCTACGTTCTTTTTAAAAGACTGAAATCTTACCGGTTCGGAATTTCCTCCCCAATTCATTACACTCTGGGTGAGAGGAGGGGTGGGGGGCATGCGATTTAAACCTGATATACCTAACCTGCGAAGCCAGCACAGTTAAGTCGAAATCGCCAGAGAAATAAAGTTGATAATATTTATTTATTTATTCTTTAAAATAATAATATACCAACACATGTAGATTGATTTGAGCACATTCACTAAAGTAGCGGCAGACCGGTAACCTGCCAGCATCGATGCACTGCAAAAATCAATAGTCGTACAGAACCTTTACTTTGCCCAAATGACTTATAAATCCACATATATTTTAAATATTATTATTTTTAAAGAACTTCCAATATGATGAAAAATCAAATGCATAACTCGAACCGTCTTATGCCACCTTGTGAATCGAAAGAGTCAGTGGTTGAAAATCCTGTGAACTTATAGTATTCAACCACTGTTGCTAAAAAATAAAAAAATCTGTAGCAATAATACATACTGGGCCAATGCGACAATCTGTTCTCTCATTGTTGGCATAGGTGCAATGAATTTATTCACATCATCAATATATCCTTGCAATGCTGTATCCACGGGAGGACGATAGACGTTATCTGAAATGAAAATTGACTTTTAAGTTGATACCTGGCTAATGTGAGCATCATCAATGAATAGCCAAATTCTCAAAAATGATATTTCTAGTTGAATATCTGAATCGCTTCAATGCATAGCACTATACATATACTTGAAACTTCTAACTGATGACAATTGTAATTAACTTGTACATTCAAGAGCAAAAATAATTATAATTATAATGAGAGGCACATTTGAATTGCATTCAAATTGCAAATAAAATAACCTATTACCAACATAAATGGCTCGGCAATGTGGCGGACAGGACAGGGCGTGGCTATGATTCAGGCGTCTGATCGCCTTTACTCACCCCGAGATAAATATGCGAATCCTATGGTACAGTGGTTCAAAAATCTTTCAAACTTCGCCCCCCCCTTTTTGTTCTGAAAAAAATGCCAAATGTTTTTGTGATGGGCTTTGTTTTAAAATGGCGCTGAAAGCGTTTTAATGTATTTTTTCTGTTTAAACGTTTACATAACACACGTAAAATCTCAATCAATCACCAGGTTGAAGATACTGTTTATAAAATGGGAAGGATTTCAATTAGCGCCGACAAGAAGTGCTTATAACACGTCGGGGATGTTTTTCTTAGTTTAGATAGTGGTCGAACATAATGGGAAATTGTTGCATTTCTTGTAATCTACAGCGTATAAAATAGCTCTTAAATATTATTTTGTATCGCGGACTTTATGTTGTTACTGCATTGTTGATGATAATATTACACTACAACCATGCTTGAATATCCGTCTGAGCAATCACACTGATTGTTCGCCTTTGTTAATTATTGCTTATTAGTCTTTACGGCTACAGCATAAACAAGGAAATCGAAGCTTGGGAAAACATCCATACTGCATGGAATTTCAAATGGGCACCTTGTGACCTTTCGCGCCCCCTTTGAGAACTTCTCATGCCCCACTTGGGGGATGCGCCCCCCAGTTCAAGAAGTCACTGATTGACTCGACTCTTGGACGATTTAGTTGCATACAGATTAATACTATATATCAATATCCAGCGGAATTGCATCCATATGCATCATAATCAACTACTACATTCACCTGGTTACAACCCGCTCGGGTAGATTCGCATGGGTGCAATCCTGCGGCCATTGGCAACATTATCAACATGATATCAATCATCATTACAATATGAACTATAGATAAAGCATGCTTCGCTACTTTATCAATAGCCCATACTTGGGGTCATACATACAATTTAGGGCACTCCAACAGTGTGTACCAATATGAATGTAAAAAATTTTGTTCGACCAGTTTACATCAAGTTGTGTAAAGGGACTGACACCTATGTGCAGGGGGTATATTCACTTGGCTAACACAGACAGTCCCTGAACTCGTAGTAGAACTAAAATAGGACAAATCGGGATAAAATTATGGCTTAAGCCTAACCTGGTAAACACACTACAGGAGTACCCAATTTAGCACCTATCTTGGCTGCCATATTATATGTTATTAATGATTAAATGTAGACGACGAAAAGATTTGCAAAACTGCATACGGCTACTTATGTATGTGGTATTGCTAGGGCTGGGAATTTCAGGGAAAACACTTTAACCGTTAACCGGGTAAAATTAACCGGTTAACCGCCGCGTGACGTTTGACGTAATAATTATAATTTCAGCTTGTTACGTCACAATGGTTATAAAGCAATTTCGCGTGTTCTTATCCCGGTATCGCTCAAAATTATTCACGAATCGAGAGAGTTTCATGATTCCTCTGCTGCAAAAGATAGGCAACGTGGTTCGGGCATGTGGAAATATTTTAGAAAACCCGATTCCGTTGTTAAATGTCATTTATGTGACAAATTTTTAGTGTTCGATGTGCAAATTCTACTTCAAGATATATATCATAAAGAAAAACGGCATCAACTGCACACTTGTTGTATGACATTGAATATCCGATTTTGCGATGAAATCGTGAACAATATATTTCGAAATCGACCGAAAACTGATTCTGAATTTATCATTGTAAGTTTTCATTATCAGCAACCTTGGTACTTCCATTATTTTCCACATTTATTGATTCCTTACCCACACAGTTAGTAATATTTTATTGAATTAAACGCCGCAAGAGATAAATTTGCGATGCTGTAATCATATTTGACGATATTGTACGATATGAAGATGATTTATACCTGAGATGTCAGTTAACGGTTAAAATAAATCATAACCGTTAACCATCTGAAATCGGTTAACCGGTTAACCATTCCCAGCCCTAGGTATTGCTGTGTTTACTGTTTGATTGCAGTTTGCTAATTGTTCCAATTGGTTGCTCTATAATCAGAAAAAATGGGCGAAATAGCTGTCTTGTAGTAGCCCACTTTCCTGAATAGCGGGCAGTCGAGATTTGAGTTCTAGGTCGAGTATATTCGTTGTGGTTTGAGTTGAAGTGTGTTTTATAAATATGACAGCTGAAAATTGTCAACTTCTGATGTTATCTAAGCTAATTGCACATGAAATATAAAGCGAAAATGTGACATTGTAACATTTCACTAATCGCTAATGCTGCTATTTAACTAAATATGCAACTAACTCATTTTATAAAGCAAAATGGGATAAAATTTGTAGATCCTATTATTCTATTTTTGTCGTTACATATCTATATATTTATGTTCATTCTACGTTTAGTAATGACTTAGTATTATTATCTTAGTACTGGTAATGCGTTAGTTGAGAATATATAACCTTCCAGATCCTTCTCTTTTGTTGCATCTTGTTTGACATCCAATTTTGCTGCGTCAAAAGTTATTATATAAGAATATAAAATAATGTGGTCCAAATCATATGGAACACACCAATAGCTTGATGGTGGGCACAGCGTGCCAGCATTAGGAATATTCATGCTATGGCATCCCTGATTATCTTCAAATACTGTTGGGGATAATTATGTGCGAGGAAGAAAATATTCCTCTCTCGCGGAATGAATATGGAAATCCAACATAATGCATCATGATGAATTCCAAGTAGGTAAACAATAAGTGAGATGATGGTTTGGTTGTTTGACTCAACCTGCGGATTTCTAGCAAAGAGGCCTGAACCCACAATTTGGCGAGAGGGGGTTTATATTCACAAAATGAATTGCCGTATCATAAGACCCACTGAAGAAAGTTGGCAACAAAATAAGAATAGGGGACAAACCTATTTTTAAAATCGACTATTGCCCTTTTATCAAAACGGTAACAATTACCGAGATAGAAAATCGTCATTCACCTTGTTTTTCAGCTGCCAATCTTTCTGCTTCTTCTCTTGCTTGTGCTTCTTTGTCTTTCTTTTTCATTCTGTGCAAAAAATGAAATTTAAATATTCAATTCCAGTAAATTGATAAAATGAATGGTAATATACACAACTTAAACTCGAGTATTGAATAGTTTGTAAAGTGACTGTGAGTATGTATTACCGTACTAATGAATGACTCAACAACACGAGTAATATTACACTCGAATACAAAATAGAATTTCCTCCTCCAAAAATGGTAAAATTCTCCTACGTTTGGAAAAAGAGAATAAAAAGTGTTGATAACGATCCTACCTTCGTGTGAGTGATGCTTTTGAACTGACTCTCTTTTCAGAACTTTCATCCTGGGTGGGTTTGAGGCTTTAAAAAGTAAAACAAGTCTTAACTTAAATCTTGTCCAGTTACCAACTAGAGTGAGGTTTAATAATAGTTCTCTAAACAGTTGAATATTATTGGCACATGAATGTATATGGTGGGGGAATATAAAAACATATCTATTTATATATAGTGATACCTCGGTAGTCGAATAACTCGATACTCGAACAATTTGGTAGTCGACCAAAAAATTCTAGTAAAATGCTGCAGTACTTAAAGGGAAATACGGTGCTTGAACAGCCAAGCACATCGCCATTTTGGAATGCGTTTGAATGAATTATGATGATGATCATTTTCTCTTATGGCAAAAAAAGTTTCGCTATTTAAACAAATCGGTAGTCAAACACCAATCCTTAATGAATTATCTCCGAATACCAATAGTATCACTGTATATAATACAATGAACTCAATACTGGTTACTAGAGATTTTTAACTTGTAAATGTGTTAACTGTATTTATGTATGCAATTTATTGGCTGCATGGCAAAATTATCGGTAAATCAGTAAATTTTGAGTGAGAATGCTCATTGGTTTCCATGCTTTTTTAGTATATTCCTGCCCTCGCATACTTCAGATCTCTTTATTTCTCCCTCATTATCCATATGAACTATTTCCATAATTTGTTCATCCTCCAAAGAATGTGTGTAAAATAAGTTTTACAAAAATACTAAATAACTAAATAATATTAGTAAAACTACACCAAAATAATACTTCTGGTACTATTTTCTCCCCCAAAACAACAAAATTCTCCCCCGGGAGGAATTTCTTCCAGATTTGGGAATGCTGGGTTAACTGTTATTTGAACTATTTATCTGAAAAAAAAATTTAGATTTTCAATTTTTTAGTAATCATTTTTTATATCATCATAAACCATGTACATACAGTGCTAATTTAAAACACTAAATTTAAATAAAAAAAGTCTAACTAAATATTAATTTAAATACATAACTTAGTAGCAAAAGCACACAAAAATGTTAGGAAATGAAAGCAAACAAGCTTAGGCAAGCAAAACAAGAACAACAAAAGTGAATCATCATATAGAAGCATGCAAGAAAATCTTGTGGATGTGCTGAAAAGTAAGACAGACCAGTAAAATCATTTACTGAAAATCAAATGCAATAAGCAATATTTGTTCAAATATGCATAGCGCAAGCATGATGAATTTTCTTACATTGCAGCAGCTTAAAGAAAATTTGCAGATTTAAATCTTGAAAAAAAATAGCAAAATATTGCGATTGATTTAATTTGTGAAGCCTGGATTTCAAATAATTTCATTAATGTCACTAGCCTATTTCAAACTATTTTAAGGGAAGGGCCATTGAATTTACGAAAAAGTTATATCACAACATGAAAAGTGGTGTCACAATACTTTTACTTGGGAAATTTGCTCAAAGCAAGGCGAGCATACTCACTCAGGAACAATGAAGATCTCTGAGAGAAATTACGGGTAACTACCGGTACTTAAGGAACAAGAGACTGGCACGAGACTTGAAGTTACAAGTTACCCCTGAAGTGTCAAAAGCTACTGAGACTATAAAGAATAAAAGTGCAAAGTTGTGCGTAAGTGAATACCGTTTGATGAGAGACTTAAAAAAAGTTATAAGATTAGTTGGATATCCCTTTCTAAAACTCCACGACAGCAGTAAATCACAATGTTATTTGTGATAATTGATTTTTCCCTTTTGATACTATAAAGAAAGTTACAACAGGTGATTGATTTTGTTTCGCTTAATCATAACATGCATTTTAACGTAATGATTCTTGATTTGTAAATCAATCATGAGAAGCAAAAATAAAGTGCGATGACTACACATATATGCAAAGCGGTTTTAAACCTCGCCAACGATTCATTTCTTGGAGAATTAAGCGGACTCGGCAGACTTGCTTTTCGCTGTTCTTGCCCACTTGGTGAGTGAACCTCAATAGGGGGTATACCACCGACTTCGTATAATAGAATCTCCGAGCGCTCTGATAAAGAGTCCATATCTTCTTCTTCAGATGTTTTTCTGTTCATAAATCATCTTACCAGATAAAATTTTGAAAGCAAAAATATTCATAAAAATACAAGATACATCTCAAATATAGGAACACAGTAGTCAAATGTAAAACAGTGTTCTTATGAATTAAAATAAAACAGCAAAGAGTGAGTACAATCTGTAAAAAAAAATATCTGACTGTATCAGTATTTTTTACACAACATCTTAAAATGCTGTGCTGTATAAAAAGTTAATCTGATAAGAAGATACATTTAAGATCAACTACCAGTAAGTAAAATTGAGCTACAAACGACAAAACCATGATGGGTCTGTAGTTAATTCTCGACAAAATATATCCAATCAACAAAAATTCCATGCCATAACTTGTCTTGTACACTTTTCTGAGCAAGATACAGACTAACAACAAATATTAATAAAATGCACCACATTATTCAACACACACAAAATTTGTTTCTAATAAAGAAAAATGTGAACAAACCGAATATGAACACGTAAAAAGAAAATTTATGACCAGAAATTTTCTTTCGCAATTATCTGGAGTAAATATTGTATAGGAAGTTTTTACATCAACACTCTGTTGATATGCGCAATTATATGGGATAGGATTTATATATTTATCTACGAGGGAGAGAAAAGGTAATAAGATACCTTAATCATATTACAAACTAAGGTATCTTGTCGGGTGTGGAAATAATGTATCATTTTTTGTTTTGTTTTAGATGCATGGATGGTGGAGAAAGCTGCAACTAATCAGCTATGGCATAAAGACCCTACGATGTCGAGAAATTCAGCAATTCGCTCGTAAATATTTATCACCCACGGAATTCGTACTTGTGAACCTATGCAGGGTAATCAGAAGTACAATGGCAAGCATGTTCCAAGCACTTATTAACGCTATGTACCAAACACTGAGGCACAAAATTTGTTTGTTAAGCATAGTCTACAGTCTCATAAGAAAAATCATCGAAACCCAAATTATCATCGTCTGGGTATTGGGTGACATGACGGAGTTTGAATGATTAACAATGGAGCAGATTTCTAACATAATATACCATCATTCTAAACAAAAACCACACACAATTCAAGAAAAACATATCAGCACAAGAGGGAGATGTTACTTAGGAACCTAAGAAATTCTTTCAGCAGATCACCATACATTTCAAAATCCCCAAACAAAAACTTGTTAGATAATGAAATACATATAAATACTTACGGTTCCGGTGGTTTACAATTAACAAGTAAAATAGGACGCCTCTGGTTCAATTCTTCTTTTGCTATTTCTTCCAATGGCAAAAATTTTGCATCCGGGCGCAACTACAAAAGAACAGATGAAATTGTTGAGCCATAGATTCAAGGTTGTATAATTCTAACAATATGTTACAATTGATCAATCTTATACTAAGATAACCCACTGAATAATCAATTAATCAGTAGGGATGGGGAATATTTATCTGTTAAACGGTTAATCGTTTTAGATGATTAATGGTTACAAATAAATTTAATGTTCAATTGACATAACATGTAGTATATTCCCTGTTCCAATGTACATTCAAAAGTAATTCACACATGTTTTTCTCTTTTGATATTCAATTCATGATTATCAATTGATTTAAACGAGGAAAATGAAGCACATAACCCCATAACCTAAGACTACTGGTAAGGGCTGTGAAATGGGAAAATCAACCCCGGCTCCCAACTAGAAAATAAAAAAATTTTTTGTCCTCGCACAGAATTGTGAATCCGGTGAGAGTTATCGGTGAGATACTAAAGACTCCGAGACGCCAATTTTTTGATTGAAAAGCGGCAATATAAAATACTAAAAATAAAACTGAAAAAATCATCTCCATCTTCGAAATCTGAGAAAACCAATTTTGATACCAAAAACTTTTATGTAAGACTCCTTTGAGAACACTTAGTAAAACTAATGCTTCTGAGAATCTTCTGGCTTTTATCTATATATGCGACTCTTGTTCCGACTCCAATGAAAGCAATTTCAGCTCTACAGCCTCACATGTGATGCCAACTTAGTCAAGTTCGATCTTTCAATACAAAATTCTAATCTTTTGTAATATTACCCTATTATATATTTCGACATGAACCACTTTAAGTCAGTATCTCTTGGCACTTACGTAGCAGCCACTTGTAAAATAGCAGAGAATTTAATTTCTCCTTCATTTCTGAGTGAGTCCGAATTACCTTGCTTTGAGCGAATTTCCCTATAAAACATGCTACTTACCATTCCTGCGTCATAGAATCCATCTGATATGATATTATGTGAAGATAATTTCCCTGTCAAACTATATTTTGCCGGAAGATTGGAATCGAGTAATTTATCGAGAGCTGCAAGACTAAAATTGTTTCTTCTTTGTTCAGAACTGTTAATCTGCTGAAGAATCTCCAGTGCACTAAAATTAAACGTAATATTATTTATTTATTAAAAATTAAAAAAGTAAATTCAACTTGAACTCGTAGGGTAGTTTACATTTGACTAGTTATGGCTTCCCCCACCATCAAGTCCATGAATCTCAAATCACGAACTGGACTCGATCGACACCCAATATGGATTGGAAACCAAATGACAGGCCATGCTAAGCCATATTATGATTAAGCCATCTTCTTTGCTCTTCCCTTGGATAAATATGAAAATCATATCCTATTCAGTGAAAGATTTACTGTCAATAAATACAAAAGTATTAGATGCAAATACAAAGTATTTTCCCAATAAATGATTGAATATCAAAATTCAATACTGTATATCATTCTGATATCTAGCGATGTATAAGAAAGAGGCAGCATTTTTGGAAAAATTGGAATTTTCCCGATTCCTCATTCCGCTACCCAATTTATTACAATCTGGGTGACATGCTGGACATGGCATTTGAATTTGAAATGTGTGACATGAGATGCCAACACTGTTTAGTCTGAAGCTCAAACCACAGGGCCACTCTCCCCCCCCCCCCCCCTAAATTCAATTTATTCTGGTCTAACATCTAGAAGCATTTGGTTCACGGTAATACTTTTCAAGGCAGTTTTAATAAAAACATTCAAGTATCAAACAATCTCAAATAAAATAGATCCAACCAAAATTAGGTTCTTGTAAAAACACAAATATTTTTTATTTGAATATAAGACGAGAATATCGGTCAGAGACCGAAGACTTATCGATCCAAAGTTAGGGGATCCCCCAAAACAGCGCTCTTACTCCATAGTGACACCTTGTGTCCCATCAAATTCATCATCCATAATTCATCCAAAATCAATAGGCTTCTAGTACGACATATGATGAATGCACATGCAAAATCTGGAGCAGATTCAATCTCGCTTTTGTTAGATATCGTGCATCTAACAAACAGACAGACAAATACCTATTAAAATCGATAAGTAAAAACAGTAAAATCAATCATTTACCCCAAATTGGAAATAGCGGTAGCAGTAGGCGTATCAACACAGCTTGATAAGATTGCCCATGATGCATCTCTTCTTAATTGAGCATCTCCTGATCTCAAATGACGAACCAGGGGTTCCAAACCACCATATTTTCTCAACTGGAATGAAGAATAAATTCCAGCACAAATGTTCAATGTTCAAGATAGGAAGCACGATTTTAAAGCACATTCCAAAATATTTATCTCTCTAAAATTAGAATAGCGTATGGGATGGGATTTTCATATTTATAATGGAGTAGAGAAAAGATGAAAAGACGGCCTAATCATATGGCAAACGAAGGCCACACAGAGTGTAGCCATCTAATGCAGCTGTTAGACAAAGTAGTTGACTAGTTGTATTTGGAAGAAGCTTATAGAGACATATAATTCCCATTTTATGTTCTATTACACTTTCACTACACAATATCTATTGCCTACCTCTGCTCTAGATTCAGATCCCGTAACAAAAGATGCGATCGCTTGAGCTGCTTTACTTTGAATTTTTATGCTGTCAGACTTGAGAGGCTCAGTTAAAGACGCAATCAATCCTCTTTTCTGAATATCGGTTCTGTATAAAGAAATACCAAGAATGCATAAATAAACGTAATACAAAAAGTAATAAATATAATGGTATATGTTAAAGTAAATGTCAATTTGGCTTAAGTTATTGACTTGACTTGGACTCGAGTCCCTATTCATCAAAGTCTTAATGTGACTTTAGTCATCTAGATGAAATGGCTCGTACTCAACTAACCACAAGTGAGACTCAACCCAGTGTCAGACTTGTGACTTACATGATTTAACTGATAAGAAGTCGCTGCATTTCCATTTTTCATTGTGGAAGAGAGAAAAGTCGATAAGACAACATTATTATTTTGCGAACCATAGCCTTTGTCCGGTCACAAGTGGATGTAGTTACTAATTAGTAGTTACCCCTTTAATTGTTCAAGATGCAGGAGGTTGACAAGGAAAACCGAAGAAAAAATATACACTAATCATAAATACAACTTTAATAATTCACATATTCTAAAATCGAACCCGAAAAGCAACCCTAGTTGCAAAGCTTAGTAACAGCGACATATCTAGTGAAATATTGCTATTTGTTAACTTTGTTGTTAAGTGTGAAGTATCACTTCAAGTAAGCACTTGTGAAGTAATTACGTAATCTTAAATTGTCCAAAATTTGTCTTCAACAGTATATGAGTACTTTCAGTTGAGAGTGGATTTTTATACAACATTTTTATATGCCTATAGGTAGGTTACTAGTTTGAAAGGACCAGAATTATTCTGATTAAGCATTGCCTACTCAAATCTGTGTGAGATGGTGGATTTGAACCCAAAATTTTAACCTGTGATGCCATCGTAGTTATGTCTAACGCTTTAATTACTAGGCCACTGCGTCCACCAATCCAAATTAAGATAAAAAAGACTATACCTTAACTGCTCATCATGTGACATATTGATGAGACATGTCAATGAATTGACTACAACGGCTTCTTTGTTAAAGTTGAGTAGACCAATCAATATCTCGATTCCGCCCGAAGAAATAATTTCCCTGGAATGAGAAAAATAATTAATTATTTGATGTAGATTAATTTGTGGCAAGTAATTCTAAATGTTTCATAAAATTTATCCAGAAAGAAGAAAAAGCTGCTCAAATTGTGACTAGAACTTTTGCTCGTAAATGATTCATGTGATTTGAAGCATAAATTCTATAAATATAAAGACTTGTGATGTACACAACTATTCAAAGTCATAAGTGAAAATGAACAATAATTCAGGTTATATACAGATAGATTAACATCAGTCCAGTTTTGGCAGCGAGCTATAAACCTGGAACCTTGGCGCCACTAAGTATAATATTTACATTTTAAATTGTAACAGAAGTAACAACACATGACTACATTGAGTTGAGTAAATTTTTTTTGCAAGGGGGCATGGATCATGAAATCTTAAGAGAGACTACTCAAATTCATTTTTTTAAAATCTTGGCCCTCTGCACCAGAGTTAAACCATACGAAGATAATCTTACAAATTACCAAAATACATACATGCAGTTATTTTTGTGATTCAAAGTCAAGTTGGCAAGAGCAAGAGTTGCTGCCTCCTTTACATCGGCTGATTCACTCTGTAATAAGTTGATGAGAGGTGGAATTCCTTCTGTAATTGTAAAAAAATATAAAATTTTTATAGAAATGAACTGAGTTTTAATCGAACAAACGAGATTTTGTCCTAATTAGACCGGTGTAGAGGAAGCTCTAGTCGAGACTTGATTTACTATTTATCAAAGTCTTGAAGTAACTTGAGTCATCTAAATAAAATGACCCCTTCAACTAACCCCCAGTGAGACTCGACTCTATGATTGACTTGACTTTGGACCCGTCTCAGTGTTAAGGAGGCTCGAGTCGAGACTCGATTTAATGTATATCAGAGTCTTGAAGTGACTTGAGTAATCTGACTAAAATGACTCTAACTCTCTCAACTAACCCTTGACTCGTCTCTAAACTTGGACGACCCATGACCCAACTTAACTTGGTGTTTAAGGACTTCTACTCAACACTGGTTTAATTAAAAATAGATTTATCCACTTTTATCATAATACTCGCAAATCCCAAAGTATATTATTTTCATAAAAAAATTGTTTGCATACTTTCAATGAAGATGATAAATCAAATTTTTTTTAAGAATCTCACAAGGCAAAAGTTTACTAAGAATTATTCACAGCCTATTAGAGAAGACTTGCATACGCTAAAGCGGGGGTTACCAAACTTTTTGACCGCGGGCCAGGTATGACTCAAACTGTGTTGAAACGGGCCGGACAAATATTTTTGTCAATGCAATACAATAAATTCACAAAAGTTGGGAAATTCATTCAATTTATCCAACTATATATATTCTACATTTCTGATGTCTTGAATATTAAATTCTATATCGCAGAATATAGATCAAAAACATCATAGCAAAACAAATATACAAGATTTCTAGACAACTATCCTGAGGTTAGCTGTTGGCAAAACAATCGCCGTCATGAATATCCGCATGTAAGCAGTACAAAAGTTAACTTGTACTATTAGCGCAAAATGCATGTTCGACAATCATTTTAGCATGAGAAACGTACACAGCAACAGTTTCGCTGAAAGCACGCTCCACAAATGTAACCTTCGCAGAAAACGGTGCGAATCGGTAGAGAATTTTAGAGAGTTTGTTATGGCGGGCCAGATGAAAGGACAGCGCAGGCCGGATGTGGCCCGCGGGTCGTAGTTTGGTGACCCCTGCGCTAAGATATTTATTATCAAAAAATTTTAGTGCAGAGCCAGAAAGCAGAGCAAAATTTTTCACGGATCAGAGGTGGGAGTCGATTGTAAATTATCTACGACTGACCACACAGCCCTGTCTTGAGACTTTGCAACTGGATACAGTACAATAAGATATTATTGATGGACTCTAACTTGGGGCCTCAAACATTGCCATCGTGTTACACCAATTTGCTCAATATCAAGTTATTGGAAATCAGGATTTTCTGGTTCTCTGGGACTCAATTTCTTTAGTTTAAAGATCCGTACAGACAAGAGTATGAATTGAAAAACCTACAATGAAATATTATTCACAATATACATATTCTTGCCTGATTTTCCAAAAGTGTCTCTAGCAGCAAGGTTGTCTGACAAAGTACAAATTGCTTGGCATGCTGCGATCTTAACTGTGTCGTTGTCAGATCCACTCAATGTTATTAACGTTTTTTCTACTTCTTGTTCATGCAGAATTTTAGCATTTTCAACTTTAAAGTAAAAATATAAATTTAATAAACATATGTAATATCAAACTTGCTGTTGTTATTTTTTGCACATCAGGACAGTAAATCATTCTAATGAATTTTACTTCTCCTGGTGAGAACCTATTCCATAACATATGGAGTTATTCCCGGGGACACTTATAAAATGGTAATATTCACATTACATTTTAAAAATCATTAAATTGAAATAATTAAATAAAAATATGATAATTAAATCTTCAATCATGACGTTAGGCAATAAGATTAGGAATCAAAAATAAGATTAAGAATCAAAAATAGTAAACAGAGCTTGGTACTATTACTATTCCAAATCCCTCAACTTGATAGAATTGCTGTAGCATGTGACGCCTGTGCGAAGTTCGCATGTTCTGTTATTCACCTATACTTATATAAGATGGTATTTTCGTATTTATCTCTAAGGAGAGCAGAATCGATAAGACGGCTCAATCATATGACAAACCATGGCCTCTCGTCTGGCTACTAATCTATATTGGGTATTGCCGTATTAGAATAGTAAACCAGTTATTTGTTTTCGATGCATGGACCTATTAAATGATTATTTAGTATGTGAGGTACATAACCATAATTGTCAAATTTATTCATAAACCCACATCTGAATCGGATAATTTTTTTATTTAAGATGCTTACTTCAAACAAGGCCATACACAGGAGTCACTAGTATCTGACAATATGTGAGAAGATTCCATACCATTTTTGGCAGCTCTTGCCATTGCTCTGGCAGAAAAAGCTTGAACTTCTGGAGCTGCAGATTCTGTTGTGAATAATAATAATTTTTCCATTCCTCCAGAATTGCGAAATTCATCCAATGCTTCTGTATCTTCTAAGCAATTTCCTAAAACTTGAAGTCCGTGAACATGCAGATCCTCAAATTCCTAAAGGTTATGCATTAAATATTTATGATATTGACATCAATACATGTATTTTTTTTTATACAACATATTTATATGCCTTTTGCTACAAATAAGGATTTGTACATTGAGGTAAGGTTGAAGATATGGGATTCGAATTCTAGAAAACTGAGATTCCATCATCGCTGAGTCTAGAGTTTTAACCACCATACCACCGCCCCACATAATGTCTGGAAATGGAGTTGAAAAAATCTAATTACCGGTAATTAATTTTCTAAAAATTAATTCTTCTAATCATTTTGCGTAATATAGACGCAGACAATGTAGTAACAAAAAGTAAAAACATACAATATAATTCATTGCACATGCAAATACATTATCCAACATAACAACGAAATTTAAAACAGTCCAGAACTGCCTCGTGAAATCTATATCATGTTTCTCCAGCGAATAAGGAATTGCTGGGTTTTACCTGCAAAATTCAAAATAGCTCCATTCTGTACTATTTTTTACCTTGTGATTTAAAAATTCAATCAATTTTTCAAGTCCTTCATTTTCTCTCAATACAACTCTGGTATCAGCTGTAACAAAATAAAATGCTTATTTCAGAAAGGTATAAAATTTAGGTTTAAATCAAATAACTCAATGGCCATTTTGTCTAACGAAAATCATTAGTTTAACTGGAGACTTGCAGTTATCATAAGGCCTGACAAAGTTACGATGAACTAGGTCAGGGTGGTCCAAGATTGGCAGCTTCGCGGGCCACAAAATGACTTTTGCATTGTTCGAGGGCCACAATAGTGCCAAGAACTTTTCCCCCTAGTTGCCTCAGCAAGCCATAACAATAGTCAATTCAGTGACATTAGTGATGTAACAATATGTCAAAAGATTTTTTGGTTAATTTTATGACGAAACAACACGAAATGCGATTTTTTGATTCCTCACTGAATGCAACGCGGGCCACAGATAATGAAGTGGGGGCCACATGTGGCCCACGGGCCTGAGTTTGGACCACCCTGAACTAGGCTGTATGCAAACTTTACCGTGTGAAAAAACTTTCAAAATAAGCATGAACAATTTTGCAATGATAAAGGGTAGAAACAATTTTTCTTGAATGAACATTTAAGAAAACATATATTCAACTGCAGAGCATAATTCTGGCATGCCTAGCTACACGGATATAGATATCCAGTAATAAAACAACATGACCAAATAATACAACAAATATCAAAGACTGTTACTTACCATCTTGTGTTACTGCAGCCAAAGTAGTCAATGCTAATTCTTGAATAATGGCATATTCTGATTTTAAAAATTCTAATAACGGAGGAATTCCACCAAGATCTCGGATGGCTGCACGAATTTGGAAATCCTGTAAAACATGGGATTAGTAAAATTGCAGAAATAACTTCAAGCGTACAAAGCATCGCAATTCATTTTGCAATTTCAAAGTTAGCATTGGAATTCCTCCTAGTAAATACCATGACTATACCCATATTAGAAGCAGTGGCGTAGCATCCACCCCCGCAACCCCCGCGGTCGCGGGAGGGCCCACAGCGCAAAGGGGCCCAAGCGGTAAGAATTTAGAAATTTGGGCCGCAAACCAAAAGCTGCAGTGCAAAACTAGTAAAGCACATCTTATAACGTTGATGTTAGTTCTGCTCAAATCGTTTTGTTACGTAACAATGCCAGGAAGTCGTCGATTTTCGGTGTCTTGTGGTTTGATCACACCGGCAAAATTACGAAGGCTGTCAGAATGATGTTGAAAGCGAAACCTCTCAATGGCAAACAGAAACGCAGAAAAAGGACAGAAGAGGAAGAACGTATGAAAAAAATTAAAGTAACCAAAATAACCGGCAAATTTTAGGTTACCATTGCCTTTTTATAGCGACATGTTGTGCTTTTTGACGAAATAAAAAAAGCGTTGTTTTAGCTTATGTCCGAGAGTTTTTAGGGTCATTTCCCACAAAAAATTTTTGCGGGGGGGGGGGGGGGGGCCATGAGAGTCTTGCTACGCCACTGATTAGAAGGCAGGATATATTGAAGAGCCAAGCTTACCATAATAGATGAACTCACCCCTACCACAAATTTAAGTGGCTCCAGTTCCTAACCTAATTTTTTCTTCCATTTTTATTTTTTAATAGGATACTTCATACAAATAATAAAATTTGTATATTTGAAATTTCAAAGTTTAAACCTTAGTTTTGAGTCCCGCTTTCGTGAAACTATATTTGGGCCGATGTTTCACCGTACTGGGCATACCAAAAGACATCAATAGCTATCAAGTCGAACCAGATGAGTGGTAAAAAAATAAAGCTCCGAAGCCAGAGCTGAATGGTCTTACTTGCACAAGATTGCAGATAGCTTGCGCTGAGTTTTTTTGCACATCTGGATCAGGTGATTCCAATAGATTAATGAGAGGTTCCAATCCTTCATTTTTGTATATTGCTAATTTACTGATATATTCGTTGGACATGTGAGCAAGAAATAAACTTGCAAATTCATTGCAAACGTCATCTTCTGTAATAAATGAAAACAAAAGATACTTTGATACATGCAATTGGGCTATTGGATGTTTCCCCAACCTTTGACCCCAGAGAAAGCTTTCATAGAGTTCATAATTGCAAAATTTGTTTAGGTGAAATTTGGGAGTATTTTCATGTGCTTGCAAGCTGTTTTACCTATAACCACCATTTTGACTCAAATTATAGAACCACAAGAAATCAAAAAGTACTGATAACTTATTTTTAGCCTGGTTTATCAAGTTTTTGGGGACTAATATTTGATTACTGCGACTAAACTAAAATTGAATAACTTTTTGTTTAGAAACGCATAACTCACCATCACCCAGTAGTTGCACAGCTCCTTCAATACTTTTTGTTTTTCTAAGATATTGCCTGACCTCAGCTATAAAAGAAAATTTAAACACTGCAAATTCAAAAACTCATTTAAAACATGTAGTAATATAACATAATACAAGAGAGTAATGCTAAAATATATGGTCACGGAGGTCACACAGTAGTACCAGTACGGTAAGAGCAATGGTATGCTAAGAAGATTGACAAACAGGCTTTATGGAAGCGACAATACAAAATAAAAGTCCTCTTCAATTGAAATAAAGCTAATTTTTTGTTGAAATAGAATTCGAATAAAATTTGAAAACAAGACAAAGTATGTTTTCTAGCGACTTTTTCCAATAGATAAAAGTTATTCTTTCCCAACAACAACACATATTTAGCCACAATCAAAATGTACACTCTATGTTCAGTGAGATTAAGCATATATAAAAGCAAATCGATTAAACATAATGCAATATTATAGGAGTGGTAGACAGTATGTTATAAAAATTTTCCTGTAATACCACAAAATAAACTACTCTGCTAACTAGTTTCAGTTCCAACTGAAAATTTGAATTTGAAAAGGATAACTCAGTTTTAGGAGTTAAATATCGACTGAAATAGCCAATTGCTGCTTACTGCGGCATCAAGTACATGCATCTGAATCAATTACCTGACCAAAAATTCCCATACTCAACATGGACTGGTAACCAGACAAGAGGTCGTAGTTTGCTATATGATTAAGCCGTCTTATGAACTGTCCTCTTCCCAAGGATATGAAAGTCAATCCGATCCTGAATCTTACCATGGCCTGCTAATACTCCAAATGACATCACTGCATATCTTCGTACAACACGATCTTCGTGTGTGATCAAGTTTATAATCGGATCAATGGCTCCAAGTTCAAGCAACATTAATTTGTTTTCATCACCTGCATTAAAAAAAAAGCTTTCTTATAGAAAAAGATGGCTTTATTTGAATAAAAAAGTTTCTCGATTTTTTTTAACTTCGAATATACGCAAAATATTTGAGTGAGAATAAGACTTGGATTTGCAAATTCGATCAGTTTCAAAGATAATCAGTCTTCAATAAGAAACATTGCTAGGATCTTGTGAAGCAAACGCCGTTACTGCTCAAATACACCCAAACACAAATGTGGTGTGAAAATGTAACTTAAATTTCCATTTTTTTTTCTAAAAATAGAAGCCTGTCTGGCACGAACACACTACGCTAAACGTATGGGACAAATACGAAGCGGACAACTCAACTCACGATAGGACAGATGAATCGTCCACCATGTCGCATTTTCGACGGCGACGTTTTAAGACAATATGGGGCTTATTTCGATATTTTTACATTAAAATTCCTCATCACATTTTTGTTGGGTGTTATTTGAGCATTTACGACGATCATTTCATATCACATTTTTGTTAGGACTCTTAAGCAGTTACGGTGTTTACTTCACTAGACCCCATTGCTATAACTAGCATTAAGAAGCTGCATGGTAAATTTTCATGTTTACCATTGTGAGATGTAGTTGGGAAGTTCTATTCAATCTATATCACATAATATTAATGGGTCTACTCACTCCAGAGACATAGTTTTAGAGACATTTACTAAATTGAAAGAAAGAATTATGCTCAAATACAAACATTTATCAGCAAATTTATATACAGCTTCACAAGCTTTTGTTAGAACTTCTTCTTCATCTGACTTCAACATTAAAACAACTGTCCCAGTCTTTTTACTTTCAATCGTAAGAGAATCGAACTGAAAATTGAAATTTCGATAAATTGACGATAAAAAGGACCTTTCAATGAAATTATGAACAACACAATATAACGTTAATAATAAATTTCGTAAAAGCTCACCACATCTTTCGGAGGAGGTGTTGCTTCCTTTTTAACCTTCTTTCCCATTTTGGCTTTTTATCTGTTATCTTGATTTTGTACTACGTAATTACACACTTAAAATAATTACCAATTTGCCGCCTTGGCGGCACTTAACATCTCCTTAAAATCCAAATCCGAGAACAAGGGGAACGGAATAAGAACAAGAAATTTGTAAACGGTGATATCAAGAAGTGTTACGCATGGTTGATGGAGCAGGTACGCCGTTTCCATGACATACAGCTCTTCGCTGCTTTGGTGGACATTCGAGCCTGGCTTACAGGATATAAAGAGGTCTTTCGCGTATTTTTAATTTAATTCAGATTAAATGATATTGCTAAGGTTGACATAATTTCCAAATTAAAATTCGAGCAGGGCAAATTTATTATTAAAACTACACGCACACGTCGTCTAAAAAGTAAACCTTACTGAAAGGTAAAAACATTTTAAAATATGATAGTTATTCGACAAAATCGTGATGACTATGAAGTCAAAAATTTCCAAACAGATTCCAAAAATCGATATTGTTTAATATCATTTGTAAAATTTGTTTAGCGTACATTGGCGATGGCGTGTTAAACCCGTCGTTTTGGGTACTAAACTGCCTTAAATGTGAAGTTATTTTCATTGAATTATAAAGTAATTCTACTCATCCTTATTATTACGTCAGTAAATTCAAAAAATCTCAATTATATTCATCAAGAACTCTCCCTAACAACTGCATGTTCGCCTGTCTCTGTTTTCAAATTACGCAAAAAGAAAGTGGTTTGGTTTTCCGGTAATAAGGGTCTCATTATACCCTCCTGGACCGCTATCTGAAAAATGACTTATTTCGCAGGGGCGATGGTTTCTGTTCCATCCGGATAAAGGCTCGCAATAATTGCCCGTGGTATGATCAAATTAAAGATACAAATTCATTAACAACTCGTCAACTTGGGGTATGTCACGTCGTGGCTGGTTGCAACATCCCGATAATAGAACCGCAGACTTGCGTTGACTGGTCAAGTGATTTTGGTAACACTTTTAATCTGTATTATCATCTTTAAAAGCCACCAACCACCAAACGAGAGATTACTAATTTACTCGTTCAAAAACTTGTCCAATTATACTGAATATATGCAACTTTTTCCCCGGTATTACAAAACATACCACATGTTTCTAGCACTTTTCATTTATTTATTTTATAACTTTTATACAAATGTAGCGAATTAAAAGCTGTAATAGCATGATCATATTATTAGAAACATTATAACAACAAGAGTAAAGAGAACGGCTGATGGATCAAACGTGGCATATCTTCATTCATTATCATAATTAGTGGAAGAAAAAACAAAAAAGTGAAATCTACAACAGAATTTACAAGAATCAAACATTGGGTCACTAAAAACAGACATACCGTAAGTAAATAAATGTGGGCAGACAGAACAAATCATATTCACTGGGTTAAAGGTATCAGTATTGTTTAACATGAAATCTGATCGTTTATAAACAAGCTCTAATTTTTCATGCCACTGCTCTTGACTTTCATAGCAAAGTATGGAGGCTAAATGATGAAAATGGTAAAACAGAAGCAACTTTACATGGTATTTTTAAAATCGGTTTCATTTTCCCACCCAACTGTTATATCCAACAGAAGACATGTACCAAATTACATGAACATTACCAGAAATGACTAGTCTTTGGTCTGTACAAATGGGACACATCAAGCTTCGTATCTTATTCAATTGTGTGAAGCAAGTTTCAATTAAAGAAAAAGAACTGGGCAGTGGACAATTTATCAATGTGGGACATGCTGTAAAGCTCTACATGTTGTGAAAGTTCCAAATTTGCCAAGCGTTGATGCTAAAATTACAGGCAGCATAACTGTTGAAGTAGGTAGGCCATGTGTCTACTCAATACTACATGGGATTATTATATATCTATACAGCATTACATTTTGTTGTGATAGACACTGGGCGAAAGAGAAATTTGGGTATAAAAAATTATAAAAAGACTGTGGAGTGGGCATAAATACACAAGCGGTAAGCTACAAACCAAATTTTGAAATGACGTAATGCAATATTCCAAGTCGCATAAGAAGCATGGTTGTTGTAAGATTAACTCAAACATCATCCATTAATACCACACTATTAAAGAATAAACAAGCAAATTGAACAGTTATAATCACTGCAAAAAGATCCTTAAAAACATACATTTTTGTCTTTTAAGTGCATGTCTGATAGAAAAAGACTTGGATATAACGAAAACGAGACAAAGGCAATAAAATTGTTATTGAGCATTTCAAAACTTTATACTACGTTATTTACTTGGAATGTTTTACTTTCAAGTAAACATAACCTGATAATACCATTTTCTATATTTGGGCAAATTGACAAGGGTTCATCTATTTGTCCAGTTGGTCCTTTCTCTATTTAGAAGATGAGGTGTATGGATGATATTTTCAATAAATATTTTGTTTAAATACTTGGCCAAATCCCCCTAAATATTACTGTCATTTATTGTTTGTTTAGGGTATCTGGAATGCTCAAACTGATTCTAATATATTCATCAAATATTTCACACACCAAATAGCCACATACTACAAAGTAAAAATATAAGTTAAACCTGAAAACCAGTAGTGATTCCACATTAAACCATTGACTAAATCAAGTCATTAAAAGGCCGAGCAAGCATAGAATATTGAACCAGACAGATATGTACATCTTACAATACTTGTGAATAAAACTTTGCGAAGGGTATTTTATATCTACAAAAATATGTATCCCCAACCTTAAAGCAACATAGAATTTTAGTTATAAGCAGGCAAATTGCAAACATAAAAAGAAACGAGAACAAGGAACATAGAATATAGCATCTAAAACAGAAGTGGTGCCACTGTAGTGTAGTCTATCAAAAACATCAAGTGAAAAAAAAACATTCAAAATTTTATAAAGAAATCAAATAAAGTCTAATACGAGACCATAAAATCTGACATTTCCGGTTCTAGTATTATTTACATTCCTCAATTTGTTTAAACCTTTGTCAACATAATATTTCATAAATAGTAAATTAGTTCCGCTTTGATAGACTTGATTTAAAATTACCTTTAAAAAATTGAGATAGACCAAGCATATGGCCTATAGATTGTGGGAACATATGTAAATGATAAAAACATGGTTTTACAATCTTAAAAAGAGAAGAAAAATACACTAAAATCGATAATAAAAGGCACTTTCAATGAAAATATATATATTTATATAGATAACCAGTTAAAACAAACCATTTTATGGACAGACATAATATGACAAATATATATCTATGCCCAGCACAAAATAATGAATTATATATAACAAATAGAGTAGGCTCCAAAGAGGATCCTTGTGGTACTATCAAATATGGGATCTTGCTAGGCAAACTGAGATTTTTCAATAGGACTGAATTCAAAGTTAGCGGATAGAACTATTAGAAATAACCATCTCGAAATCTATATTGGGATAAGTAATATGAAAAGCAGCAAAATAATTACCGTAAGCAAAAGCATTATTGATCAAATATTGATAAATGACTAATGACTACTACCAGTGGGGAAAAATAAGTCAAAAATACAAAAAAGGTGAAAAAAAGTTTATATCATAAAAATCCACACTTGAGGCAGAGAAATAGATAGGGAAGCCGCTTTATTCTATATAAGAAAATATTTCTTAAGAAGAATATTGCCAGGATCATTATGACAATTTAATGAAATTACACCTCTATTTAAAAATATCCTAATAAAAGTTTGGTTATGGTAAATATTGGAAAGCACCTTTCAGAGCGATTTTAAATTTCATATATAAAAATTGGCGTTCAGACATTCTCAAGCTTATTGGAAGTTAGAACTTTTCTCATTGGGCTTGGCATTTGCGATGATATTAAAAAACATAAATATCATCACAGACTAGAATAATTAATGGAATTAGATTTCTTCCACATCAGGACTATTTGAGAGAGGCAACAAATTAAAAAGCTTTGGGGCAATTAAATTTTTAACCCATGTCTGTGAAAACTATAAAAATTTTGATGTCAAGATAGCAATTTTAAGGAAGAATTCAAACTATTTGTTTTGACATCCAGTCTATAACACTAGATAGATCAAAAAATTTATTTTTCTCATTCTCCCAAAAACAAATCACCAAATACCGTTTTTTACAACAAAATAAGGAATCTTGTAATAATTTAGCTCCATTTAAATAAAGAAATCAACATCTTGAAAAGACATCTTCTCGATGCGCATTAACCTCAATGCCAATGCTGATAATGAAAGGATTGATCAAAAATATTCAAAATATAATAAAGGCGAAGACCAGAGTGCCAGCAGCATATGTTACCATGGATCATATTTATTAAAAAAAGGATGGGTGAGGAATAAAAAAAAGTCATCGATCAAAATCCTGAATTTGAGTGAAAAATTTAGCCAGATCGATTCGAATTATAAATTTACACTCCCAGTAAGCAATGACCAAATCTTTTCAAATCCCAATTGCCGTGATTCAACAGCAAAATCATCCCAGATATTAACTCGTGGATGGATATTATTGAGCAGCAGAGCACCATATTGAAATTTACTGTAATAAAATTGTTGCTGTTGAAAATTTGAGCTTCAAGCACTAACATTAAACGATCCATGTCAATTCTCTTTAATATTCATAAATACATTTCATTGAATGTAGAGGTTAGTTCATTTTTTTACTCATTTCTATATGCCATAAAACAACATCTATCAAAAACTGCATTTCCAGAAAGAAGTTGATAATTGGATAAAAAGAAAGTTCACAATCAATTAGTCCACTAAATAAAATAAAAAACGATGACAGAGATTCTCAAAGAATGTAAATTGAAGCTGAAATTTAAAACCTTTGAATTTTCTGATGACCAATAACAGGGCCCTGCAAGAATTCATTTCAAATTAAATTTAAAAGTTGTATATCATGTTTTAGAAAATATTGAACCATACCTTATATTTAGGGTACATACCACTCTAAAACTTACAAGATTAAAAATTGGGGGGGGGGCAATATAAATAATCATTATTTTTATAAAGGTATGGCTGTGACTGGGGATGATTTCTACTGAAATCCTTCAGTGATCCTGTTTAGCTAAACAAAAATATTGCTTGATAATCTTCCGCAGTATGATTGTTCATATCATAGTAGATGTTATTACACCTTTCCCTCGCATGGGGGCGAACATGTACGTTTTTGTCACTGGCATTAAAGCCAACGATGCAATCCTTGGAAGCACCAACATGCGAATTGAATTCATTGTCGTGTTTGAACGTTTGTGAATGACATCCTTGATATTGTTCAAATGTAAAAGGTTGGAAGACGTAATAATCTTATCCTTGATGGCATAGGCATAGCCTATTTGCTCTGATTTTGAGCAGTTTTAATTACAGTCCGAGGTGTATTGGAAGGCTGTCGTGGTGGTGAGACATATGGGATTGAGTAGATGTTCTCTTCATTGATCTACGCTATCTAGAATAAATAAAAACAAGTCATGAAAAGGTCAGAATTAGAAGTCTCTATCCACGGTTTATATCTGTAATTTTTCTCAACGGGTGAAAAAGAGAACAAAACACAGAGAATATACGATACCAAAAAGGGCTGTAGTGTTGAGAATCAGTGTTTGGCATGTTTTCATTGGAGTCAGTACCGGAGTCATATTATCATCAAACTCCCTGGAGTACTAATTCGAAATCTAAAATCTCCAGAATTTTAGAATTTTCATGATAAGAATGACAGCCAAAAAATAAGCTGACAAATTGATCCTGACAGTCTGATAAAAACACTGTCTTAGTTGAAAACTAATGTAACAAATATGCAATATTAAATCTATTTACCTCTCTTCATTATCCCTCTCATCCTGACTTAACGACTCAGTCTCGTCTTCTGATGAATCAGTCTGTTGTACTTGTGTGATGATGTTGGGATGCTGAAAATGGCAAATACATTTCATTTGCATAATTGCCACTAATTTTTTAAATTGAAGGTTACTATTTGTTTTTTATGGTGTAACTCAAGGTTTCCAAACCGGAAACGAATTCAATGTTTTAGAGGCAGAATTTTTGTCTTGTATTTGTGTGTAATCACTCATATTCTTTACTATTCATGCACACATTATAAACTATTCAAACTGTACAATAGTCAGTGTGTGAGTTGTACGTATAACACTCCTTTAAAATGAACAAATAACAAAAATGTAGTGGGTGGAATGTATTGAAAATGGTTATTAACAACTGGTGTCTCTATTTGTAAAGATGTGATGTTACACTTTTATAAGATATAAGAGAAATCAGTCAAGCAAAGATCATTGAACTGAACGCGCTGTTGTCATAAAACCCCAAGTCCACTATTGTAACTAATGTAAAAAACTAATGTGATCTAAGAGAGCAGAAATAGTACCGAAACAAATTACGACAATTTGTTGCACGAACTCACAACAGTATAGAGAGCACAGCTATCCTTACAAACATGACCAATGCTTGAAGCAGGTAGGTCTCAAGGCCCCCTAGGAAGCCACAAAGCGGTTTTCTGGGGCTATGAGCGAAGACCTTCATCAGGAACCATTCGCATTACTGAATAAAAGTGAATTGACTGCGATTTCTTCAATTCTATGACTGTATGAACATTACTATGAATCATCAGCCCAATGCAGTTTTGTGGTATCAGGTTTCAAAGGTATGATAAAATAAATAGTCCAAGCGAGTGAGGAACAGAGAAAAAAATCTGGTAAAATAGGTGCGTTAAACAGATAAAATATAGAAATAAGTATTATAATATTAAACTTATTCGTTTCAAAAACAATACCTGTGCCAATGTGCCCCTCATTTGAGAATTAAGTTGCATTTGTATGGCAGTTGTTGTTTCATTGGCTTGAGAAGTAAAACCAGACTGCCTTAGCACCGTGTAAACATCATCAGATTCAGCTATCATTTCCAAATAAGGTATCAAGTTGACAAGTTCTTGATCTGATGTATCATCAAACCATGACATTACCGGAACCTAAAGAGGAGTATATTGGGTTTAGTTGAAGGTTTTGAGGATGGGTGGTGGCACAGGGTTGACATGTTAGACTTAACTATGATGGTATTGCAAGTTGAAGTCCTGGGTTTAAATCCCATGCTCCTCACCTTACCCATGATGTAATAAATTTGATATGCAATGCCGAACCGAAAAGGATTCCAATCCTTTCAAAACTACCTTGTTCAGTATCAGTTGCTACTTGCATAGCTACTTGTACAGAGCATATAAATACACCTTATATAAGAAAGTCTAATGAAGATTGAAGTTTCAAAAACGTAGTAACTTATTATGTATCATATAATATTTTCTTGTCCAGAGTGAAAGCGTAATGATGTCCAATAATATAAAAGAAATAATTATATGTGAAACAGTATGTTGCAAATTCAAAATCCTTTTCCCATATGCCATATCATAGAGGACAGGCTTATGAGATAACTTGAGTCACAATTTTTCAAACCAGGGTAAAGTTGTCCCATCTTAGAAGGTAAATTTGGCAAAACATAACAAAAATTCTCTACTACACGATATGCTATCAGTTTCATTACAAGATCGAATTTGGCCATTGGGCATGTAGCAGATTGCAACATTATTCGCACTGAAACGTCCTCTGTTGTGTTATGAGCAAATGTTCTAATGCTCTCACTACAAACAAAGAAAACGGTCTGTTTCTTAGTTATGAATAAAAAAATCATAACTGTTCCCCCCCCTGCTTCAACTGTAGTTATGAGAGACATCTGGATTTGCAAATTTTTCTACATTGATTTTTTTCAAAATTTGGATAAATTTTACTTCTATAATTTGCAAAGGGGTAATGAGAGAATATAAGCTGAAAACCCCGAATCTAAGTAATCATTTATAGAGAATATATCATAATAATATTACCGGTATATACGGTAATATGTCGCAACGTCGTTTCAAGTAACATGAATATTTCAAATAAAATTCAAAATTGTTCTCTACTTTTTGGTCTCTGGTTCTATTCCTGATTTATCATTCTAATTATTGGGGCCCCGTTGACACAAACAATTAATTATTTCAGAATTACTCACTAATAACCAGGTCTGATCCATTTGTGTGAAATTGAAAGCTTTTTATTTCCCAAATGATTTAAAAAATATTGATTTTTTGAAAAAAGTATTGTTCCAGGACTTAATTAATTAGTTTCGAGTGAAAATGAATTGCAGTGGTAATTTTAATTTTCCCAAGGTGAAGACTTTCTGTATAATACTGTTCATGCGTAATTAAGTTGCCGATAATAGGTCAATCAAATATTTTAGAATTGTTCAATTAGCATAGCTTAGAGCCTTTGAGTTAAACTGCGTTGGCAACGCAGATTACTCATCCCTGGTTCAAATACCATTCCACGACCTCACCTAGAATGTCATAAATTGGGTATATAATGCCAAACCAGATGGATTTGCATCCCCTCAAAAACAGTGGGTCGTTTACATATCAGTGAATACTTGTACAGGGCCTTGTTCAGAGCAAGATGTGTGAAAAGGCATCATAGAAAAATCAATCATTTGGGAAAATGATACAAATCTATGAAGCAGTTTCATTAACGTAGCAGCCATTTTTGAATAGAACCATATTTGTTAATAATGCAGCAATTATTAATTGCTAATAAAAGGATGCACCAGTAAGCATCATGATCAATCAGTTCATTTTACACATATTCATCTACAAAAATGAAAGAATATTTGGAGAAATAATTAAGGATGAAAAATGCTTGAATGTAAGTGCCATCATGTTTGAGACATTTGCTATACACTTTAAAATGCAAAATAGGGAACAGGTTTTGGACAGAAAAAACTACAGAAGACTGACTGCCGTAGAATTCATCGTCTATATCATAGGTTCTCAAAGTGCTCCGTACGAAGCCCCAGGGCTCCGCGAGAGTAACCCAGGGGCTCCGCGAGCTATTCGATTACTTTTCAAAATACTGACTTGGCTAATTCAAAACTGTTCCTAGAAGCAATAACAGCTTTGATGAAATTTGACAACAATATAGCCTCGAAATATGGCAAAGCGGCGGAATTAAAAAATGACATTATTTATAAACAGGAGCGCAGCCAGAATTCTTAAGAGGGAGGAGGTTCAAAATTGGAATCGGGAATTTACGCGCCTCTTGGCGATTAAAAAAAACGAGATTTCTGTTGCGTAAAATATTCAATTCATGACCGATGCGAGCATCTGAAGTGTTTTGTCGTTATAATTTAATTGTGCTCATCGTTACTCACGTTCGATTCGAGATTACTATTAGGATTACTAAAATGATGAAATACTATTCTCAAATAGCATAAACTGCTAACTATAAATAAATTGGAGTTGTATTTTTGCGATCTTGGGATTTGTTAAACTTGATTTGTTCTTTCGCACTCGAGATTATTTTTAAGCAAGATGTCGGCGTTTGAAAAATCACAAGGTCTTGACAAAATACGAAAGATTGAACTTCATCTTAGTGCATGCGGCTCTGTCGGTAGTTTCGAAATGGAAAAATGGTACATCACGCGCATAATTAATTGACTGTTTCAATTTTGCAGTTACTACGATGAATAACCGAAAACCTAACATAACACCAAATTTTATGATTTACAATGTCTGTAACAGCGTTTTTATTCTGACGTGAGTCTGCTGAAACTAAACTTATAGTGTTATCTTTCATTTTAAGTTTTAGTTCTAATATTTTAGAATGCCGATTTTTAATCAAGAAATTTGAATTGCGGATTTACCTCTTTATTAACTTCTATTTTTAGCATTTCGTCGCCGATGATTATAATATGGTAACATGTTTTTCACATTGAACTCATAATTCCCCACGAGAACGAAAAAGCAATTATTGTAGTCATTGTGGAACAATACATGTATATGCCAAAGGAAATTTTTGATTTAGGGCGAATAAACACCGGCGTAAAATGGTCGAGGTTTAAAAACACGCCATGCTGACTAAAACAATCGGCGATTGTAACAAAATGCAATCGCGCACGTTATAATTCTTCCAAAAATGTCAAGAGGGGGAAGAGATTCGACCCATAATTTATTAAAATGTTTATCATGTGTCAAATTTATAGCTTTAGTATATACAATTTATCTTTGAAATTTAGATTTATTTATGACTTGTATTAACCCTATTAAAAGTGTTCAGTATTTAAATTGAGTAAAGTAGGTTTAACTTACTCAGGAACATTAATCGGAAAGTAACAACTTTAACATTTATTTTGGGGCTCCGTGAATAATAGTCAACCTTTTCAAGGGCTCCGCAACGCCAAAAATTTGAGAACCCCTGGTCTATATAATCGTTTGCAAGTCATCAATGCTATTTTTTACAGCATTTCAATGTTGGCAGGTAACTAGATGCTGCAAATGGAAGTGTTGGCCAATTTTCTGTCAATGACTTGCAAAGAATTGCTTTACGATTATGGATCTGTAAATGACAAACTTTTTATTCACATACAATGGCATGCAGACTTTGAAATCAATTTGGAAATCCAGCACTGATCATTGTCAATGTTCACCTGATCCACAGTGAATAAATGATGAAAATATATAATTTATATTATACTGACAAAAAATTCTGTTGCCGCATTTTGCTGAAAAAAGTTTCAACATTCAAGCAATAGATTTTACCTCAAATATAATTATATAAGTGGTTGTTTGTTGAAAGTTCGAGGATACAAAAAAAAACAATAAAATGGTTTTGGGAAAATTCATGAATCTACATACCGCATTATCCGGATGAAAAATATACGATGCTGGAGAATTATCGATGATAATGATTTTGTTCAAATCTCTTCCAAGTCTGCTCAAATCTTTGACATAATTTCCTCGATGAAAAACGCAAGAATCACGAAATAAACGGGAACTGAACACTTGATGTTGATCTAGTAAATCTGCCACTGGATCGGCATACTGAAATGGGAAAGGTATTGAATACTAGATTTAGAAATTTAACCATTATCTTGAATTGAGACAGAATGCGTCTAACTGAACTCAATACCCAAGCAGGAGGGCAGCAATAATCTGTGGAATCTGGAAATATTTAACAATTGACTCAGGTTAAAAAAAAATTTTAAAAATTTTTGGATTCAACTTCAGCTCCAAACTCTTAATTTAGAGAATCAAATTTTGATAATTGAAGCTTTGTCTTATGCAAGCATACTTTAAAAGAACAATTATTAAACCTCATTTTGTTTGGGTTTGTTAAAAGATCTTGATATCTTTTATCGCTATCGAAAGTCAAAAATTACAACTTCATGGAACTCAGGATTTCGATTTTAAAACACAGATTACGGTGAAACATGCCAAACTCTGACACAGTCCTGAATAAAACAGTGCGATTATGAGCAAATATATACCTGGTTACCGGATAGGTTCGTGCATTAATGTAGCAAAGCATTTTAACATACCACGTGTGCATAGACCTGATCACTTGAACATTAGTGGGATTAACAGACAACCATGGAACTTGGGAATACAAAAATACACAAATTGTTCCAACATATGTCCAACATGTCAATTAAGGTTACTGTACCCTATTATCTAAATGCTAGATTTTGGTGCATGGTTTAAAAGACCATTTTCAATTAAACAAAGCAAAAACATATTAAATGAATCTCACATAAAAGTGATAGCATCTGTTCACTATATTCCAGCATAAATTAAAAATTTTATGCAGATATGCCTCTAATTAACCTCTATAATGAATATAATGCATTATTAACAACATGGTCGTGCAGCTTTCTTAGTAAACCAATTGCCTGCAATAATGAAAATCTTCAGCCATCAAGTATGAGTATTACTATTAGGCTTGATTTATCTATGGCAGAAACATGGTAAAACTAATTTGTTTTTTCAGTTTGCAACAAGGCATAAAATTAACCAAGTACGCTTGGGTAAACAATAGAAGTTCTGCAAATATTGTGTGCGCAAGTCAGCAGGTGGTAAGGAATCAATTAGGTATGACCTATGTACTTGAATATCAATGTTTAATTCGTTCATAAAACCTTATGACAATTAAGCAACATTCATTGAAAAATAGCCTTGTTATTGAAATGTCTTTATTGTACACCATGAAATTTCGGAACATGCCGTTCGAAAATGGAAATCTCAGCTAGTCTGTAGCTAATATACTAAAATAAATAGACATGTCGGTTCCGGTACAGTAAGAATTGAGAATACCGAGTTTGCTGAAAAGATAGACAGACAGAGCGATACAGAATCAAGGCGAAATTCCCCTTTGAATGAAACAAATTAGCAAAATTTTTGATGAAACATTGGGTCAATGAAAAAAATAATAATAAATATGCACAGCTTAAATATGTATTAGCTTTTAAGGAAAATTCTCAGTAACTTGAGAAACTTCAGAAAATCTATCTATCCAAAACATTTCATCTTCATGCATATTTGGATATAGCGTGTGTTACACAAAATTAAGTCATGCTACCCATATTAAAGTTAATAAATTCTTGAAACTAATATTATTGTAATAGAATAGAGTCTGGGATCAAGAATGATTGTGAATTTAGTTAAACGAAGCTAAATACCATACGTTAATTAGCTTTCAAAATTCAGATAAAAAATTACTGATTTATTTTGGACCTCCTGAAGTATGCGCACCAAGATGGCCAGATTGTGTACCAGGTTAGGGCTCAGGTTATGCGACATCTTGGTGCGCATACTTCGGGAGTACCTTTATTTCTTAATTTCCTTTATAATGAAATTTAGGCTACACAATGAAAAAAATTTAAGACCATTCAGGAATGAAACTTATTTAGATGGGAACATCCAATAATTTTGAGAAGATTCACTATTCTTATGTTTTTAGCATTGGTCAATTGATGGCTAGCACAATAAAAATGAAATTATTTAAAGTAGCCAAATATGCATTTGCATTAGTGTAATATGGGGAAACACTGAAAGTGGAAAAGCCATTTCAAAATTGAAAATAAACAGGCTTGTCAAGAAACAGTCAACCCAATGAGTACAGGATGACAACAATGTCCTGAAATGGAAATTTCTACATGTAGGCTAAAGCATCAAACACCTTGAGTGCCCATGAATTATTAAAATGTCATTTTAATATAAAAGTCAAACATTCCAACAGTCAAATGTTCAATTTATAAAATTGTTCTAGTCATTTAACATAAGACAAAAGTTATATTTATTCAAGCATGATTTAAATATAATATAGACATAGAAAAGTCAGAACCATCTATGACCAGATCTAACAGAATATATGGGGAGGCTCGTCGTTAAATAATAATAAATTTTTTTAACAGCAATTGTTTGATATTTACTAATGCGTAATTTAACACTATAATTTCTTATAGCCCGCCTAAGTAGCTCTTGGCAATTTTAGTGGTCGCTGTAGCTTCGCTAGGAGATTAATCTCCTTAATTTCAGAGCGTGCTACCTTACTTTGAGCAATTTCCTTTCAATATATTTATATGGTTTGTAAAAGATTAATCTCATCAATTTCTGAGTGAGTGTGCAAGACCTTATTTTGAGCAAATTAGAAAAAAACATACATATTATACTACAGTAGGCGATCAATTTCTGAGTGAGTGCATGTGACCTTGCATTGAGCAAATTTTCTCAAAGGATAAAATATATATTTTTATAGTAAAAAATCAATCTCCTTAATTTCGGAGTGAGTGTATGTGACCTTGCTTTGAGAAAATTTCCTCAAAATTATATATATCACAAACTTTATTCTGTGCATAGTCAGTCAGAGAGAAAACAAGTACTAAATACCAACGATGGGTGAACTTGTAAATCAATGACATACGATGGATGAGTTCCTCTATCACATTGTTGTTATTCAGAGCTTAACAAGGGTACAATGGAGAAAAAAAACGATAAACGATAGAAATAAATGGATGATAACCAGTTCATTCGTGCGTATAAAGGCATGACCCAAAGCATGCCTCAATAATGGTGTGCACGTAGGATAGATAGCATCATTACACAACATAAATGTTGAAACTCTGCATATAATACAACTTTCAAAAATGAGTGTGAAAAGTATTCACCACATGAAAACTATTACCTCTATGTTACAGTTAGTTAAAATACTAGGTAATAATTGAATAATAAGTCTGACTTCTGTAAAATTATCGTCAGAGATGACTTTAACAGAATGATATAAAATGTGAAATATTTTTGATCAGATGTGATGAATAAAGTAACAATTTTAATAAAGTATGACAAGATTTTGACACTTTTATAGAAAGATAGAATGGAGAGCTGACAAGAACTATATTTTGACTATAATTATTATCAACGTGCTGTGCTCTGTATACATTGTGAATGATATAATATTTTGAATGGTAATTTATATTATTAAACACTATTCGATCAATTACGTGAGAACGTCTAAGATAAGCTACGTCATAGTATTTGGCCCTTTTTAAAAACAAATTTTTCTTTTAGCAATTTTCTTTCTTTTATAAATATTTATATTAGAAATTAGTTTTCAGACTGCTTTATTACAAATTTATCGGGTTGTGTTGAGCCCATTTTTAGCTGTATATTATATAAATATTATTTAACTTACTTTAGACAAACTAGCTGTGAACAGGACACATTCATACATTTCTCCCATCCTCTGTAAAAATTGATCGACGTGAGGCCTTTTGAGGACGTAGACCTGAAAATAAATATTGTTAAATAAAGATTCTAAGTAATTGTTAACAATTAACAATATTCATCTTGAATAAAAATGAACAAAAACAAAAAAGGAGATATAATTGCTAGTGAAGTGAAATAAATAAGAACAGAATTTAAAAAAAGTCCCAGTATGACACACTGGTCTGCAAATAAGTCATCCTATTTTAAAAAAGTATATTTTCAACGGAATCTTGTTGACAATACCCAAATTGAACTTTTTAAACACCATTGTAAAAAACACTTCGTTAAATTGTTTGCAGCAAAACAATGACTTATCATTGGCGAAAGTATGTGCACTGCACACAAAGCATTATATCATCAGGTTAACTTTAACCTACATCAAGCACAAAAGTTTTTCTGGTCAGAAGATAATCAAACAATGGACCCAATGCAACAAATTTGGTTATATAAGTTATTTCTGAGGGATTATAAAACTCAACATACCCAAAACTCAACCTAATAAGATATCTGAGTCTGTGTCATTACAATTTAACATTAGTTCAAAAGTAAACTTCAATTCAAGGTCATGGCACCCACTTAACATTGCAATGTGCCGATAAGAATTGATAAAATATACATCAATCATAAGTTATGAAAATTATCTCTTTTTTCAAATAGATATTTTCCTAGCATACCATGCAAAAAAATTAATGAAACTTGTACTGTTGTTAAATGGGAGCACGTAAGAATTTCTTTTTATTTGATGTATTTGTATGCCTTCTGCTTTGCACATTGTGGCACTGATATGTAAGGGGCTACTTATTTGGGAAAGACCATAATCTTTGGGGTACAGCCTACCCAATTTATTGCACCCTGGGTGACATGGTTTGAATAGGATTTTAAGCTGGGATGCCATCATCATCACTAGGCGACCTCTTCCACAATTTTAAGCAAAAATGTCAATTTTAAACTGAAATTATAAATTTTATCAAACTTTGAATTATATGTTGAAATACAAAAAATTTTCCTGATTTTAAATTAAAATTCTATATAAACTAGGATGGGCAATTTTCAATCAGGGAAAACTAAACTAAACAGCAATTCAATGAGGAATTCAATTAATTAATGGTACTGAATTGCCTATTTGATTTTAGATAAGATGGCTAAACAGGTAGTAATAGATATTGAACAATCACAACAGGAATAAAGCATTCGATGTCTGGGAAAACTGATCGATCGACCGAACTACATACAATTGCAAATACATGAAAGTGGAAATGGATCATTGCCAGTGGCAAATTTGTTAGAATAAAGTAAGCTTAACTTAGGTAAAAAAAATATTATAGCTTGATTTTGTCAAACATGTCCTGGCGACTTTACAATAGTGTAAAGTTAGACTTCAAAATTCTCCATACTTAATTTGATCAAATATTAGGGGGGATTGGTTTTTGAAGCTTATTTGGGTCATATCTTTTTTTGCAGTAAATATCAACCAAGAAAAATTGAAATTTTGACAAGATCACAGAAGCTAGAAAACTAATTGGTAATGTTAATTTGGATCTTGCAGTAAGTCTTGATAAATTGAATAGTTTTCGTGCAAGAATATATTACAAATTTGTCAGTAGAATGCCTAAAGGTATTTTTATTCACATTTTACATTTGAGGATGCCTAAAGGTATTTTTATTCACATTTTACAGAGGAAAAAAAAAACAGGAAAAAAATTCTAAAATATATTTCGTAAAAGTTGAAAAATATAAAAATGTTTCTTACAAGCTATATATATATAAATAATATGATAGAAAGTCCTTTTAATTGAAATTTTTTAGTATAATAAGCATAATGCATCTGATGGCCAAGAAAAAGGATTTGAAACAAAATAGAAAATCAACCTAAGCAATGTTTATTTAAACTATTCTGCATCACAAAATTTGATTTTTATCGATATAAAATGATTGTTGCAATTTTTTGTTGGATATGACCCAATTTAGGATATATTCAAAAATATTGATTTTAAATGTTTGAAACAATATTTGGCTAAGAAATTCAAATAAAAAACTATTCATTTTGGTTATTCCTGGGCCTTATTAATTTGTGGAATAACCAAGACAGACTTGACAATAAAACGGATAAGTCAAAAATGTCCTATCAAAACTTGTTATAACCTTGTGTTTCCAATATATAAATAGACAATAAAAGCAATATTACTTTGGTAGCATTGTGGATAAAATAAAGTTTGATAATAAAATATTTTGATCGTTTTGTTAAAGAGTATTTGCCACAAGTCAACATACATAGAAGGACAAATAGCAACTCAGCAAACTATAGCCCAACTGGTAAATAATTAACCAGAGCTGACTTCAATAAAGTTAAATCGCAGCTTAGCATAACTCGTTGAGTTCAGCTTTGCCTAATTCTCTACAGCAATTATTATTAATAATATGTGTACTCTAATTGGTCGAATTTATATTATGGACAATTTGAAATTACATTAGATATGCTAAACTGTAGCTATTCTTTTGCAATTCATAATAATTTTTTAAATGCTGCATATGTTCATCTTGCAGACAGCAATGAAAATTGACCTAAAAAACCCACAATGTTTCACATTGTCAATAAGATCGAAATCAGAGATAGATGATGAAACGAGCAAAAACTTAAATACAGTGCTAATTATTGAACACGAAGTGAACTTATGGATCATTCTAACCTATAAATTCATTAGTAAATAATTGACCAACCCATTTCAGTACTTGAAGATTGAAGAAGTTGTTGGAAAGCTATTATTTTCTTTTTTGAATTTCCTAGGCCAGAATCAGAGTCCTATGGGACCCGATCGTTCACTCTAAATTTTGCGGTTTCATTTTATCATGCTTGACCCAACTCCCTTCCCGCCGACAATTCTTTCAGCGAACTCATTTCTCTCAGCCACCCATGCCTTACTGTAGCAGTACTGGTGAATGACCTTCTTGCAAATATGTTTGAGCATTGCTATTTTGTTTATGTTAAAAAGAAGTAATGGATTTAAAATATTTTCAATATAAAACTGATAATCAAACAAAAGGCGTGTTCATTTCACTTCTAATAGTGATAGAAAATATCACCGTAAATTAAACATTCTATGTTATAAAATAATCTCGATAAATACAAATAATTTGTGTGGTTTTTGTTATATATGTCTGTATCAGGTTTTCTCAAACATGGCTCCTGGTCCCCTATTGGGCCATGCTCAGAGGACTTCACTAGGTACCATTCACTACGACACTAATAGTTGAAATAAATTGACTATGATTTGTTTAATTCTTTAACTGAAATGCATTTATATTTTTGCTCTTTGTTTGTTCGTTTTTTATTATTAAATGTAGTGCATAAAATATCTGGTAAAAATGCAGGGGAACACGGTTGTTGAGTCTTCGGAGTGGGGACACAGATCCCAAAAATTTGAGAACCACGGGTCTAGATCAGGGGTGAACAACCCAGGGCATGCATGCCCATTGCGCTTCATCAGTTTGAACATGGCACGCAGCGATATATTGAAAACTGAAAAGTAAATCCTGTATTTATAATAAACCCTAATACAGTAACTCGACTTATATAAAAAAAAGTTAAATCACCGTGTTTATTCACACATCGATAGATCGTGGCCCTGTTATCATAAGGTAGCAGTCTGGCTGAAAATAAGTACCGGTAAATAGGCCAGCTTACAGTAGTTGAATATATTGATGATGCTTACACTCAACTAGAACTTCTGGACTTGGCATTAAAAGGAACTTTTGCGTGACGTTTTTCAACAAACTCTGGCCTCTAAATGAGAAAGTATCCAGTTTTGTTAATGAATACAAAATTTTTGGACCTACAGTTGTGAACATTCATGCATTTTCATTCATCAGAATAAACAAATCTCAGCTATGGACTCTGTTAATAACAGATGAACATTTAGATTCAGTGATGCACATCACTATTTCTCCTTTGAAGCCCAACATTTCAAATTTGGTCCACCAAAAATCTTCAAAATAGTAGTTTGGGAATAAAAATTGTTTCAGTAAATAGTTATTCGTTATCATGAGGTTTATTGCTATGTGTTTTACGAAGGTTCATTTGCAATACCAACAATTAGTATTGAGAAATCACTTTAAATGTATTTTTCATTTTCTGATTTTCGAATGTATTCATAATAGCAAATTATTCAGTTATGGCCATCCCTGACTGACATGAAATATAGCTTCAATATGACATTTTTATTTATAGTATTACAACAAGTGATTGATTAGCAAGCCGCCTGTTATTGAAACTGAACTTGAAAATGTGAATATATTATGACTAATCGAAATGCAATAGTCATTATAGAGAGCAGGCTATATTTAACAAAGTAATACATAAACGGTTATTAAGATTCCAGCACTTCTGATTGTCACACAAAATGCTTCTTCATACACAAATTTGCTTGGTCAAGGGAGTGTGATAAAAATGGTGAGATTTGATATACAGCTGTTCTTCGTTAGCTCTGAATGTGATAACAATGTGTGAGAATGTAAAAGATGGCTTTCAATGAAACACAAAGTTTGCTGGAAAGATCAGCAGACAAATGTGACAAATTATAGTGTTCCCATATTTCACAAAAACATGTTCCAATGAATTACAATAACAGCGAAATTTTGGGTGAAATATCGGGTCCCATAGCGGTATTGTAGAACAAGACTGACTAATGTCCCCTTTTTGAGATGTCCACTTTTTTTCAATTTTCTGAGATTTTAATTGAACTATGCTCTTTCAGATGCCATGTGTGGAGTATTAGAACTTTTGAAAAAACTTGACAAAAATTAATAAAAGCAATAGCCTCCTAGCGACTTTAACTATCTTTGAGCAAGCCTACTAAAAATTTGTTATTAATTGGTCCCTCAGTTGCCAATTTCTGCCCAACCTAATAACAAGATCCATATATACACTCCAATAAACGATGTTCTAGTATTGAACAAGATCAGCTTGAAGACCAATTATGACATCATATTCAAAACATGCACTTGATTAGATACATCTCTAGA